AGTAACATCAATGCTGATTGGTTATTCAAATGTCTGACATCATAAGGTCATAAGTCGGTCTTTTGACCCCTGACGTGACCTATCTCTATAACTTGTCAGATCTTCATGTAGGGTAGGCCATCGAAAGTTTAAAAAAACGAAATGAAATATAGAGCTGTATTTTAATCAGATTGGACATACCCGTACTCATATTACAAATTTCAACGTACAGTGGATAATCTTTAACGAGCTGCCAAAGGAAAAGGCCAGGGTCCCTGTTCTCAAAGTTACATTGCCGTAAATGAGATTTAGAGCACTTTCCTGTGGGTTTAGAATAAAGTTTAGATACTGGAACCGATGATTTCGTTGTCCAAATCTGTGGATAAAAAAATGAAATTGTGTTTGCAGTATTATGTATAAGTCAGCATATCTGAATGTCATGCAACCTAAAGTATTCCACATCAAAGTGCCAAGTCGTTCATAAAACAACCCACGTGCTGCATAAAATAATGCTTGTTATCCATAAAGCATCGACCACCTCCAAAACAACCTCCTCCTCCATAAAACAGCACCGTCTGTACACTAGAACCCCTGTCGTAAATGAACTCTCGCCCCCTCAAAACAGCCATCGTCCACTATAACATTCCCCGTCTTTCATAAAACACACCAGATCTCGCACATGTACGTAGCCTAGCCTTTGAAAACTGTATATATATAGGCATTTAAAAGGGAATTCTGTAAACTGATTAATCTATTAACTGGACTGAGGTTAACACATGACACAATTATATGGAATACAAGTTACTTGAAGAGTTTATTTCAGCGACGTTTCGAAGAGGATTCTCCCGTCTTTATCAAGCAAATAATGACAACCATAGTACAATGAAGATAGGGGGGTCACGTGGCTAAGTGGGTAAGACGCTGGCTCGCTAGCCTGGAGGTCGGGTGTTCGATCCCTGCATTGGCCGAGAAAGTTTACCCAGATTTTCCGTCGTGGTTTCCCCTTGTCAGTGATGCAGGATGGAAGGCCTGACAAGGACAGCTGTCTAGTCGTTCGGATGGGACGAAAAACCGAGGTCCCGTGTACACATTGGCGTGCACGTAAAAGATACCTTGGCAGTTGAAATTCGATATAAGAGTAGGCCGTTGCGCCGCTGCCCGGGCAAAATTTCCCTCATAGCGCACCGTATGGCGTATGCCCGTCTTCATTAGCCCAGGTGAACAGTAGGACGTTAAACCCCATTTCATTTCATTTTACAATGAAGATGTATACAAAATATATACTGAGGTTATTTTAACTGTTAAACTAATACTCACTAAATACAGATTGTTGCTAACAGTGTTCATGTTCAGATCTTCAGGACTTAATCCTTCAACCAATTGTCAGTGTACGGTATGTAATGGCTCAGATATACGTCAAATCAATTCTAACATGTCCGACAGAACCAAAACTTTCCTGGTGCTGCCCCTCTACCTACCTCCTTGATATGCCTACCCTCCCTCGGAGCCCCCAGCACGCCCCGTGACAATCTGCGCCGTTTTGAAGCAGATCCTGATAATTTTTTAGCCAGATTTTGTAAGTATGGATGAAACCTGTTTCCAAAAATGAAAAAGAGTCGGTCGTCATTTTCCTCATGACGTCATGTCAGCTGTGAACGGTTTTTTTTTTAGGGTGGCTGAAGAAAATTTCTTTCTGATCGGCATCCACACCTTGCAACATCGTTGGCAAACGTATGTACACCTCGAAGGGGGCTGTGTAGAAAAATAAATGGAAACCATCGACTTTGTGCAGGTCTTTCGCAGATAGGCTTAGAACTTTTCAGCCAGTCCTCTATACTCAATTTCTGAAGGACTTGAAGCATAGTGTACAATGTGCGTGCAGTCTTCCCAAACTAACAAGTTTTCTGGCTTTAAATGGATTTCGGTGTTCCATTTGCTTCTGTTTCATCTGTCATTATGGTTAAAACACGTCCAGAAAGGTTTACTAATACAGGGTCGACAACTCCAACAGATTTACATGGAATTGATCATATTAGATTTTTATCGTCAGCTGTAATCTCTTAATCTATAATTTAAAAGATCATAGATAACATCATTATCAATTTGTTAAGATAAATAAATTATCGAATGAAAAATAGAAAATAAATAGACCCGTGTTATCTCACAAATCAATCGGCCATTTCTGACTATGAATATTTAAACTTTAGTTTAAAGATATTTATTTTGTTCTTCCTAGAAAAAACAAAAGAATTATATATATAGATGTAAAACATAGAGAATAATTGGTAAATTTCCGTCATCAATAATTTCTTCAGTCCATCCATGGAACAATTATCTTTAATTCTTTTAACCCAGCATCTATTTATATCGTCCTATTTTCTCCTTCCTGCCATCTTAATATAGTTTTACTATTTTTATCTACAATCCATTTTTACTTGTAATGTCTTTTACCTTCTTCTAATTCAAGACGAATTGTCCAATGTCCAGGTAAATATTTGACAGCATTAATGGCACAGCCAGCTTGCCAGTTACCTAAAAACCCAACTATACCGATTCTTTCATTATAGTTTAATACTATATAATGTGTAGTGACTTGAACAATACAACCATTATGTGAAACAGATGATGATATGGTCAAAGCGCTGGACTCATCGCGACATACAATTGAATTGAATCAAAATCGGAAATGATGAAAGTTCATCTAAAAGTTAATTCCGTTTCTTTTTTGAAAATGAAGCTCTACGTAATCATCTGGCATTTGGTCTATTGAGTCTCTTAGGGATTTAAACCATGTCAATAATAGTATATGTTACAGAAGGAAATTTGCCGTCAATTCTTGTCGGGACTGGAAGCGATTTCAACACAGGTGTAATATGACAGAAAAATTTATTTTAGTTTATATTATGTCACAGCAGTTTTGATTTCGTTGGTGATGTTGATATTTCAGGCGAATAGATAATAAATAAGCTCATAGGCGTAGGAGCCGTTTAGAGAAAAAATATAACTAACTTATTTCTATGAGATCCACACTGCCCGAAAAGTATTTTCTCGTCTTTTTCTTGTCCACTGCATATGCCCGAAAATATGCCCGAAGCTCTCTTATGATAGGTATGCCCGAAAAAACGGTATTGCCCGAAAATAGGTATTGCCCGAAAAACGGGCATCGGGCCGGAAAGCGGCAGAGGAAACTAGCAGTAAAACGCGTTTGCGACCGTCAAATATTCCAAAATTTTCTTGGCGGGTCATTCGCCTCTCAAAGAAAACCGGCGCCGCTGTCTATAAATCCGAAATTTTTCGGGCATTTCTAGTTTTGCTTCCCTAACTGTCATCGAGCCCTAATAAAACACTAATTTTACTTTTCTTGTAATTGAATATCACGAATTTGTACTGAATTGACTATGGATTAAAACATTTTGTCTGGAGCCACTCTGATTTGTGCGACATTTTTCAGGCATCGATTATTATTTGTGAATGCAGATGCAACAGTCTGATTGGATGGTTAGAATTAGAGTGGGATTTCAGTTACAAAACCATTGGATACTTTTGGAGTTGCTTACACGGGCTAGAATAGCAGAAAACGCATTTACGGTGATTAAATTTTCAAATTTTTCTCCGGGAGGGTGAGGCCTCCAAATACCGCGCGACGATTGATTGGTTGTTTGGAATTCGGGTCAGCCAGGTAGGCTATATTGGACCAAATTGAAGTTGCTGTATTCACAGACTGGAATAACAGGAAAACGCGTTTGCGGCAGTTACATTTTCCAAATTTTCTCCCAGCGGTCCCGTCTTCGTTGACTGTAAACGATTGATTGGAATTCGAGTCAGCCACCTTAATAAGGCTATAATATATATTCGACCACTTTGAAGTTGCTTTGTTCACCGGCTGAAATAGCAGGAAAACGCGTTTGCGACAGTTAAATTTTCTCCCAACGGTCCCGTCTTCGAGGACTGTAAACGATTGATTGGAATTCCGAGTCAGCCACCTTAATTAGGCTATATTAGACCGCTTGAAGTTGCTTTGTTCACTGGCTGAAATATCGGGAAAACGCGTTTGCGGCAGTTAAATTTTTTAAATTTACTCCCAACGGTCCCGTCTTCGAGGACTGTAAACGATTGATTGGAATTCCGAGTCAGCCACCTTAATTAGGCTATATTAGACCGCTTGAAGTTGCTTTGTTCACTGGCTGAAATATCGGGAAAACGCGTTTGCGGCAGTTAAATTTTTAAAATTTACTCCTAACGGTCCCGTCTTCGAGGACTGTAAACGATTGATTGGAATTCCGAGTCAGCCACCTTAATAAGGCTATATTAGACCACTTTGAAGTTGCTTTGTTCAACGGCTGCAATAGCAGGAAAACGTGTTTGCAGCCGTCAAATATTCCAAAATTGTCTTTTGGGGTATACAAGGTCGCTGCTGTCTGTAAACCCGAAATTTTTTCGGGTATTTCGGGTTCTGCCCCCCTAACTGTCATCGAGCCCCTACGCCTATGAATAAGCTGCTAGGATAATCATAGTGAGATGTCTTATGCTTCAAATATGGTTTATGTGGGAGAAACATTTGGAGAGAGATCATCAACTTGTTGAGCCATTTTTCTTTTAAAAGAAAGTGAGAAGTTTATTGTTTCTGAACCAGTTTTAAATTCATCTTGGGTTGACACGTATTTTGAGAGTCGAGATCTTGGACCAATAACCACTGCCTCAGTTTTATCTTGATTTAGTTTCAACATATTATAGTTTAAGCATAAAGTCGTGTATCTCTGCATAGAAATGGTGATCAAGTGATAAAGAGGCCCCAATATTGCCCAGCTGCTTGGTATACACATAACCTCTAACAGCTATGTCTTATTTCTTTTTCATGTTTCACTAGTGACTACTTTTCATGATCTTATTGATTTCTCCAACCAAGCCGATCCCCCATAATTCTTTTCCCACCACTCCACCCAATTCGTAAAATATCCTTGCGAAAATGTGACAAACATTATGGAGAACATAATTATGAAAATAAGAAAATTGAATAAAGGTATATAATTGTTTTATTATACATGTATTTACAAAACAACTCTATAACAAATTCCATAAACAACTTTTAAACATGAAACTTTGCACATTTTCCCTCACACCAAATATGAATTGCAGATTTAGAAAAACAGTTCTTCCACTAGAAATAATTATTTAATTTTTTCATCTTCATTATTGTTACAACAATTTGCTTCATTGGGAGAGAGAGAGAGAGAGAGAGAGAGAGAGAGACAGACAGACAGACAGATGGTGTTTAACATCCACTGGACACAAACTAGGTCATTTCGGGAGTAACATATAGTTTAATTTTATTTCAATAATTCGCTTGCGCGTAGGGGTCTTTAGCAGTGGGAGGAAACCGGAGGACCCGGAGAAAACCCACGAGGTTGGACAGGCTTTTTTTCATTGAAATACAACTCCCAGATATTTTACACAGTGGATGGATAAATAATTCTTTAACTTTTCCAGATGATGTGTATTAAAATTAGTGGTTTAGTTGAGACTATTCAATTACTGACATAAAGACAGTATTTTATTAAGTTTGAAATGTAACATTATCAGTGGATAAATAATGCTTAAACTCTTCCAGATGATGTCTATTAGTGGTTTAGTTGAGAGTGTCAACTTGAGACTATTACAACTACAGAGACAGTATGTTTTTAAGTTTGAAATGTGACATTATCAGTGGATAATGATGATAAAATGGCGTCTGTATTTCTCAGTAATCTTGTACTACCAATAACAACCTGAAATAAAATATAATTCATAATTATTTTAAAACTAGATTCAAAATAGACTGGAACAATATTACCTGCAATATATCAACTGTATATTCAACAGATTAAACACAAATATAATTCAAATTTAACTTATCAGTATATCAAATGTAGATTTAAACAATAAACATAAATTATAACTAAAACTTATCAGATCTAACATTATATTTTGCTATCTCAATACTAGGCAAATGAAATAATTGTCTCACCTGTATATGTGTTTTAGATTTATGAACTATATCTTGTATATGTTTAACTTCTGTAGGTGTTACACCTCCTACTATATATAGTAATAATAATGGATGATCACTTGGTCGTGGTTTACTTACATTCATGAATAACCTAATAACAAACAGAAAATAAATACTACTCCTGTTCATTTCATGATATTTTTATAAATACGGAACCGAAGTGAGTCATGTTTCAACAGATATTTTTAGAGGGTCATTTTCCACAATATAAAAATCACTCAAATGATGGTTAGCAGCTTCGATTAATATTTTCTAATTTGTTTTTTTTTTCCAAAATCCTTTTTAGACCAGTCAATCTAAGTCTTAGGAAAGCCAATGGAGGTGAGAATTTGGAGATTGGATGAAAAAAACAGGTGACAACAACTTCCCTTGTAATACATGTAGTTTCAAAAAGTCTGAGCATGACCAGCTAGTAACATCAGCTTTGATCTTATAAGACCAGGCTAGGCTGGTGGTAATATCAACTTAATACTAAAATCAAGATTAAAGACAAATTCACTCAAATCATTTTTCAATTCAATTATAAAACGTTTCTATTGATTCTCTATTAAACTTACCCAAATCCTGATTTAAGAAGATCTTTCATACCACTTTGTTTATATTTAATATCTAATATTTCTCCTTTAGCTGGATTTAATATTTCTTCTATAATTTGATTTAACAATGGTTTACATTCTGTTGGAGCCATTATACCTCCTCTTTCATATACAGAACTAACAAGGGGAAAAAGAACAAGTTACATATTTGATGGAAATAATGAAACTAGATCTATAGTAACATTATTCCCTTTTTAAAAGTACAGAAAGCAGTGGCATCTTTCCCCCTTTCCGACATATTTTAAAAATTGAAAAAAAATATATGTAAAAAATATCAGATTCTTGTAAAAAGATTTTCCCCCTTTCCGGCAGATTTTAAAAATTGAAAATAAATATATGTAAAAAAATATCAGATTCTTGTAAAAAGATTGAACTATATAAAGATGTTGTGATTAAATCTTTTGTAGTTACAACTAGGTAACAAATCTGTAATGCATTAAATAATATAATTTTTAGATATACATATTAATAAGATTAGAACAGCTTTTATTTCTACGGTTCTATATATTAATTTTCAAATGTATTATTAAAGAGTTAAATAGGCATTATGTAAGAGCTAAATCTGTCTATTACAGGTCTTTATTTTGACTTCAAATGTTATATATATTATTATTTAGACATTTATTAACATAAGTTAATAATCAGCTCTCTACACTATGGGATGGCAGAAATTTAAATGTTAAAGTAATACAAATTAAATTTTCAATATGTTCATTTTTTGTTATCTAGTTTTGAACTATTATGGCAAGAACAGCCAGCTCTATATCTAAATCTTACAGTATGATTCTTTAGTACCTGAATTGTTGTAAATTTTGTCTGGCTGTACCTATTGCAACCAGTTTACACCAGATATCTTCTACTATAGCCATAACTATACTTCTATTTATAGTATCTCCAACTACAAAATATACACATTTCATCAAAATATACACACATTTCATCAAAATATACACACATTTCATCATAATCTACACACATTTAGTCAAAATATACACATATATCATTTAAATATCACAAATTATATCGGCAAAAATAAATGTTAGCTTTCTTCATGTTACATAACACACCGTCTACAAAATCAACTTATCCATAAAATTTGGGTCCTGTATAATTTTAAACTAGTAAAAATATTATCTCTCAAGCAACCTCTACCTAGCCCCTATTAGTCTGGTCACCAAACCCAATATTTCGAGTGAACCTGGAAATTGTATACAAAGTTTGTTTTTATGATTGATTTTAGTAGCCTATGATGTCCTCTTTCAGAATCTGCCCGGCGAACCTCAGTGACCCTTGAGTGTTTTGTGAAATTCAAGATGGCGTCCAAGACGGATGCAATTTCAAATAATCCCCTATAACCCCTATGGTATTTAGTCTTGGGTGATAATTTTGGTTTCTAACCATATGTTTCTGCGGTCAAGTAATACACTAAAATCGTTAAAATGACAGACAATATGGCCCTTTAACTAGTTAGCGGACGCTCAGGGCCATTATTTCACCTAACCAAACTATATCTAGAGACAAACTATATATTTCTGGATAATGGAGCATATGAGTGATATGACAACACCACATACATGCCTATCAGAGTTTCCAGGGCCACATGGGTCAGCCGTGAAAAGAGAGGGGGGGGGGGGGGTGTCAGGCTGTTTTGTGAACATTTAAAAAACCAAGTTTTACCTGCAAAACACAAAAATGTGGACGTATAAAAAAAAAATTGTGTCTAACTTTGTCCCTTCAAGCCACCCCTGCCCTGGCTCATTATGGCTAATAAATTTAGTTGAGCATGCTTGAGGAAATCCATCAAGCAGTTTAAGAGAAGAAGTAAAAAATGTATGAATTTGCCCCTGTGTGGTCAGTGTGTTGAAAATGTATAAATTTGCCCCTCTGTGGTACCCCTGTAAAAAATGATGAACTGTTCATAACAGACAAAAAACTAACTGTAAGATATCTTACTTATAGCTTTCAGTACTGGGGGTAAATCTTCTTTTTCTTTTATAATGACTTCTATTAAATCAGCCTGCAATAATAATAAAATAATTGTTTCAGATTTCAATCTACAATGTAGGATGTCTACCATTCATAACATATACTAGCTTATGTGTCTTCCATCATTATTTCCTACAGAACTACAGCTACACATTTGTAAATTTATGTAGTGAAATAGTCATAGGCATGTACCTGAATAAAAATATTGTTTTAAGATATTGAAACAAAAACGATTTATACCCTTTAAATAGTGCAAACTATCAATTCAAATGGATGAAACAGACTAATCGAGAGTACATTAAGGGTATTAAAAAATGTCAACATATGACTGGTTATGCTAAACAAACCCAATTAATTATCCTTCACAAAATGTTTTACCTTTACCTTTACCTTAGTAGATTAAGTTAAAACAGTTTGTAACAGATATATTTCTCATCCAGTGTTTGACCTAGGACCCTAAAATTCTTAATCCATCCATGTCTGGAAACTATGAGATGTGATATTAAGACAGAATGGTCTCTGACCTTGTCCTATCTTTCACAATAATTAACATACCTGAAATTGATTTTCTTCATCTTCACTAAAATCAGCACCAGATAAAGAATAACTAAATATCAGGAGTGATAGAATATCATCTAAATTTAATATTCTGAAAAATATATATGATGTATAAATTACAGTACATATATGGTCAACGAGGAGTGGTCAAGTGGTAGCTGGCACTGGCTAGTTTTGGGATCCACTGTGGGCCAAGAAGAAACTTTAGGATTATTCATACCCAATTCTCACTTTTCAGGGGTGGCATCTGAGTGGGTTAAAAGGAAAGAAAAGGAAAGTGTGCCTATTCATTCAGATCCCTTTGCAGTTAGAGTTTGTATTTTTAGTTCATGTATTTTCCGGCATGGTTCCCCCTTATCAGTAGTACAGGATAGAGGGTCTGGCAAGAGACAATGTATACTCATTTGGCATTTGGAATTCAATACAAGAGCAGGCCATAGCGCTGCTGTCCAGGCAAAATTTGCCTCATAGCACACTGTATGACGTATGCCCATCTTCATTAACCCAGTCGTATGCCCATCTTCATTAGCCCAGTCGGCGCAGAACACTAGGACGTTAAACCCACAATTCATTTAATTCATGTAATTATCTACAAATACCCTTACTGACTGGATGTTCTGATCAGTAAAAACCTCAATGTTCTTCTTGATCAATGTTAAGATTCAATTCTGAACATTCAGGTTGAGTCCTATGTCCTCACCACAGTATCCCATGCATGGTCTTATAGAAAAGAAAGGTAATAACCTTATCTATGTAAATGTACACCTGACAAATGGTTTTGAGTTGTTTAAGTTTAACATGGACATTTACCTCTCTGATATAGGTTTTTGAGATTCTGTCTTCAATATTTTGGTTAATTCGCAAAGAATACTAGGACTGTCTTTATCGCCCACCATTTGTAAAATTTTCTTTTCAACACTAACAATATTATCTAAGTTGCCATGCTTTTTGTGTGATATAGTTTGTGCTGTTGCCATGGCTACTTGTAGAATATCTAAATTAGGCTGAATGGCAGAATAGTTTGCTCTGAAATAGTAAATAGAAAAACATACAAACATGTCAACACTGTTCATATAAGTTAGGTGACAGTTTACATTTGAGGGTAATAATTTGTTTAAATTAATTATACTTTAGGCAGACTGGGGTTCGTTTCAGGTGTTGGCTGAAAAAGCGCCTCTGATTTTCCAGCCTGGTTTCCCCTAGGCAGTGATGCAGAACAGGAAGCATGGCATGAACGGCATCTAGTCATTCGGATGGGATGAAAACTAACACCCTATGTATACCATCATGGCAGCACATTAAAGATTCCCGAAATAAAAATTTCACAAGACACAGGGTTGGTACAGAAAAGTAAGATACGAAATCAGATTTCATATCATTTTATATTTTTGTGCAGTCATCCTGCATTGTCAATAGCTTTATTTCATATGTTCTCAGGGCTCTGTAGCAGTGTGAAGAAACCAAAGATAAACCTATTAGGTTAGATCAGCGCAAGGTTAGACCAGCTCATTGCCATGTATAATCGTAGTATAAAACTTGCAGCTTCCATAGAGGACCTGTGATAAATATCTGAACCAATAGCCACCAGTCATGTCATTTAGTATTAGTAAATATAATATAACTGAATACCTGAATAAATTTAATGTATCATATAATACATTAGGTGTAACACGGCCTGGTTTACCACTAAGTTTTACTGGTAGTTTTACATTGGATGCTGATTCTACTAACTGTCGATTAACATCCATTAATCCTTCCTTTAATAAACAGTGAACAAAATAACATCATAACTTGAAGGAGAAATCCCAGATATATGTGTCAGTAAATAAAACTTGTTAATTCTATATAATATGCAAAGCTCTTACAATCCTTTATTCTAGTCTCAAGTAACAATATGAAATGAAATGGGGTTTTAAGGTCATACTTTTTTGCACCAGGAGCAAGTAAGTAAGACTCTGGCTCGCTAGCCTGGAGGTCGCGAGTTCCTTGGGATTTTCCGGCGTTGTTTCCCCTTGTCAGTCGTGCAGGATGGATTGCTTGACAAGGATAGCGATCTAGTCGTTCGGATGGGATGAAAATTCAAGCTCCAGTGTACACATTGGCACGCACATAAAAGATCCCTTGGCAGATCGAATTCGATATAAGAGTGGGCTGTAGCGCCGCTGTCCAGGCAAAATTATCCTCATACACACTGTATGGTATATGCCCTTCTTCATTACCCAGCTGGAGCAGAACAGTGGGACGTTAAACCCCATTTCATTTTTTGCACCAATCGAGCTAAGGAAGACAGGCATACAAATTACAGTGTGCAATGACGGAAATTTTGCATAGACAGCAATGGAATTCCAATTGTCAAGGGTTCTTTAAAGTGTCACCAATGTTTACACAAGACCTTTGTACCATCCAAACAACTATTTGCTGTCCTTCCCAGACCCTTCCTTCCACATCAAGGACAAGGGGGAACCACGCTGGAACATTCTGATGAACTTTCTCCTCCACATCAGGATTGAACACCACCAGTGAGCCAAACACAGCACCTCCAGCTAGCCAGCACAAGCTCATTTACCACAACTCTAGCATTTTCATATTGTTGGAGCTTAGCTGCTTCAAATGCCAGAATTGAGATATATATATGGCTGGCGCAGAAAGATAAGATTCCATTTCATTTATTCTTCAGGTTAAATTTTTATACTGATTAACCTTGACTTTTGGTGTGACTAGTGAATTAATTTACCTTGACTTTTGGTGTGACTAGTGAATTTATTGGTGAAGACTGGGATAGAGATTGACTACTTCTAGCTAAACAACCAGCTTCTATAACAGTTTCATCTACTTCACTAAAATATACAAATACACTTACAATATTTAAAAATAAATCATATTTCTCCTATTGGTTATGGAGCAGAATGCACAGCATAATTCTAACTTTTAACCTAGTAAATAATAAATATAATATGCTTACTTCTATGAAATACTACTTTTTTGACAAATATCTTACTACATACAAATTTATATACTCGCTGAAAAAATATTTCAATAGCATGTTCAGAAGTGTTAAAAGATATGTCCAGCAATTGCAGATTCTTTATTAATCATCTAGAATGGAAATATGGTTTCCACAATTCTCAACCCAAAGTACACATTATTCTATAATTAATTAATAAATAAACTTGCTGTCTGTAACTGAGTAACTGCAGTATAGTGCGATCATCTCTTTTTGTTTATAAACAGTAAATGACAGTTACCATCATAACACTGTAGTTGGCATCTTCAGAAATTATTTGTAATTAAAGTTCTGTAGTATGGAAACTATTTTAACACAAGAAATTAGAGAAATAAAATATACTCGTTAGACATATGCATGTCAATTAAATATTCTTTCTAGAGAACTGAATATCAACTTACTTTTTAACAGAACAGAGACTACTCATATTTATCAAGGTATCATTGTTATGTCCAGGTAACTTAGGTAAAATGTTGATAATTTTATCTAATAAACAATCATACTGATGAGTGACAGGTGTACATAGATCTAATGTTCTATCTATGAATACAATAGATGCCTTGCCTTTAGCTACCTGTAATATGAAATGTTTAAAAAAATGCCTGAAAAAATTGTATAGCAAAATTGGATATTCATTTTTATCCAGACAAAGAAAATTAAATGAACTCGGATTTCTTAACTTTGTAAATTTTAAAGTGCTTAGTACATCCTTGTAATACATGTTTCTTAAAGCACTTGATAAAGTCATGTCTTATATACAGACTCTCAGTCCTATTATTCTTACCACAAATTAGTACTAGAATCTTGACTAATGTAGGGTCAATGTTTGGAAATTTTTATGAACAAAAATTAAAATGTCTTACTAATAAAAAGGTATTCATACTTAATGTCTTAGAAAGAAATAATTTACCTTCCTTCTATTACGAGCAGGAGTATATAGATCTAATTCATTAGCCAGCCAACGACTGGTATGACCTATATAATAAATATCTTCTTTTACATCCAGACTTTCGAATAAACCATTTAATCCAGAAGCAAACATCTACAAAAGTGAAATTCACTAAAATTTCTTTTAATATAAAAACAAGAATACTTTTCTAGGTGGTTCCATGCAAACTGATTATTAATTAAAACATTCATAATCTAAAGGGCAACACTAAATATTATTTTGAAATCAAACTACTGGTTTTGTTTTTCATGATATTTGTGACGTTGTTTATATTCAAAAATTCACCCTTTTAGTCATGACTTGTTAGATATAAAATTACTTTACCTTTAGCAGTGTTAAATAACTTTTAGGCAAATGGTTATTTTCAATATCACTTGGTTCATCAAATGTTTTCTTTTCTGCCTTTGAAAATAATGTAAAAAAAAATGGCTTTCACATTTGGGACTAACATGGTATACCTTTTTATTTAATAATAACAAAGATATGAAGGCCATTTCTAACAAATGATTTTGTCCTTTCTTGAAATATATATGTAAATTCAATCATAAAGTTATATAAACATGGTTCAAATTTCAAAAGAAGCTTTTATCAAATTTTCAATAGTTTTTACCTTATTTAAACAATGAGAATTGTGAAGTAATTCAACCCGTTTAACATCTGTGGCAAGTAGTGGAAATAAACTGGAGAAAGCTGGTGTTACAAAACATCCACTGCTGATTTCAGCAGTAAATAATGGCAGTATCATTATTTCAGCTGTATAATTCTATAAATATAAGAGTTACATAGAATAATCACATATTTATGTTTGTATACCTGCAATGCCAGTATCTATCTGTAGGAGAACTGGTCATACATTTGGAATTTCTACTTTACATTGCTATACTGAAGTTAAAACACTTAAGATAAAGCTATTTTTTTTCATTTGCATTTATCATTGATAATTACACAGATTAATCCACACTTAAAAGTATTTGAACTGATTATTTAACATTTATTTAAAGAGCACATAAGGTGAGCAAGCAAACTTTTCTGTACTTATAGCCAGTGGTCACTATATACACTTTACGGCAAGCTCACAGCAATCTGATTAAAATTATTTGACATATTAATGTTTTCGTATCAGACACCTGAAAACACTTTTCAATTTTTCAATTACAGCCTTAATCCGGTTGATTGGCCGGTGACCGTGCATACAATATACACTAACTATTAAAGTCACTATCCATACACACCACCAGTTGACTAGTGTGTATTGATGGTTCAATTAACATACTTACTGACCTAATCATTAATTGATTATAACTATCTACGTTTAAGCTACAAATCACTATAATTCAAAGCATTTTTATAAGCGGACCTTTCTCGTCTTGAATTGTAATAAATTACATACTTGTGACTGGAAATTGTTAAGAGTGAATTTTAAAATGCCATATTATCTTTGTGTTGTTGAGAGTTGTGGAAATTCCAGCAAAGAAAAGGTACATAATGTGACGTTGATTCTCTTCCGTCCAAAGTAAAGACATTCTTGATCATCAGCATACTGCATACTGCAATCAACATGAATCACCAACTAACTATATTACACCCAGCTATCAATTTAGAAGGGAAAGAATTCCAAGTCGATTACATTGCTAGTGTCAGATTAAATGAGAAAGGTATAATGGTGAGAGGAGACGGTTTGACAGATACACCTGACCACAATTAGTCCAGGTAAGTCTTAATTTGTATTTATCAAGATGCAAAGTCAAAAAAATAATATCACAAGGTTTGTGTGAACCTATTTCTTTTATTTGGCCAACATACAAAAGATAATTACCTAATCAGCCTTCTTAATCCCGCCAGCACTCATAACATCGAGGCGTTATTTAATTTATGCAACTTTTAGTTGGTATTGATTAATCAGAGATTACCGACATGAGTACACTAGCACAGACACTTGTATTAATATACAAATATATAGTCAGATGCTTTTTTTTGGTGTGAACTTGCCTTAAAGTGCATAAAGTGGCTATAAGCACAGAAAAGTTTTTTCACTCATCTTATGTGCACTTTAAGATTTAAGAAAATAGAAATAAAATATCAATGTAAGAAACAGTTTCGATTCAGTGTTTAAAAAAAAGGTCCATCAAAATATAGATAGCTGCTATTGGTTTGTGTAGTACTATGGTCTTTGCGACCATACTGTATCTTTAACTAATTATTGGGTTCACATACATGTATTGTAGAGAAGTCATGTCTCATGTACTTAAAAAAAAATGATTGGGTTGTTGAAGCCAGAATATCATGTTTATCACTTGTGTTGCAAAATTCCTATTGCATCATTTGGCTTAATAACCAATCGTTATATTAATTACGTAATATTTGTCCAATTAAATAATTGACAGAGCTGTCTCAAGGACACTGTCAATGTTATAAAACTGATTTAGGTCCTATAGATTTTAGACAGCTGCTAAATTCAGGAGAGAACGCCAAAGTTCAAGAGACACCAGCCGGATGGAGTGGACCCCATTGATTTGTAGGAGAGCCATATGATGTTGGCATCCGCCAGTAAACTTGATCTGCAAATTAGGGGGTGGGGAAAAAGACAAGTTAATTTTAGGCATTGTATATATTGTAATCTATGCTTGTAACTTAAGTATCCTTAGCTTAATATAAAATGTAGAAGCGAACTGATGCATTGTTATTCCTAGTAAGACAAACGTCTTAACTACTGAGATAGTAAGAAGAATATACACAACGTGAGTCCTAAGAAGGGAATAAGAAACAAATATAACCAGAGGCAATACTAGACGATCTCAAGGCTATTAAAATATGTAGCAAAAGAGAGTATATATGTGTCACAAGTCGGCTGTGGGGAGTTTCTATGTGTCTGGGCTTTCCACATCTAACCACAGACACATAGCATTTGGCATAGTAATACATGTGTTTATATCATCTGCACAGGTTGAATGTTGGGAAATTATAAATTCACCATACATGTATCTATGTAACTACTAAACAGAATTGAACAATTTTTGGGTTCAGATGGGACAAAAAAACAAGGTCCTGTGTACACATTGCCATGTACATAAAAGATCCCTTGGCAGTTGGAATTTGATATAAGAGTAGGCCATAGCGTTGCCATCTGGGCAAAATTTCTCTCATAGCACACTGTATGGCATATGCCTGTCTTCATTAGCCCAGCTGGAGCAGAAAAGTAGAACGCTAAACCCCCATTTCATTTCTGAACAATGTTTGGATTGATATTCCTTTCAGAGATTCAAATTTCACAATATTGTAGTGTGCAACAAATTCAAAATCCCTCAAATCACAATGAGCACCTTTAACATTTTAAGTTTTGATGATTAGCCTATGACAGATCACATGTTATTGCTTCATGTAATTGATGTGACTGATGATGGGTCAATTTAACACATTAATCTTTTGCTCACATAATTAGTTTCCTTATTTATTTGCAACAGAATAATTACCATATTTCCCATCCATTGTAAAAGTTTTTCTTCGTACTTCTCCATAATGGCCTGCTCATCTCCTTCAGTAGAACCAGTTTTATTATATAGATGAACATGAGAACCAACAGTACTAACAACTATTACATACTGAAAGTTACTAGATGTTATGATGTCTTTTATTATATCACCACCCACATCATATAAAGGTGTACTTAATATAAACACTCCTTTCATCTGAGATTTACTGCCACTCTGAAAAAGCAAACATGGGTTGTCAGGCAAACGAAACATACATCCACCAAGGTCAGTCATCCAAGCAATTATGTGTGAAACAAGTCATATAAATTTCAGAAAAATCAGATCATAATGAAAGACTCTAAGTGCTAACAAAATTTCATGACTAAGGGGAACAACTCATTGAAAATCAAAAGGGTTCTTTCTTTCAATAGCATAGACCACCAACATAAATTCAGAAAGATTAGTTAATAATTATTTCTGCCTATAAAGTTCTAAGAGGGTTTTTAACAAAGGCTTCTGTTTAGAAATTCCAAAGCCAGTTTTGATTTCGTATTATTTGACATAATATGCCATTGATTTCAAACTCTTGTCTTTTAATCCCCATTTTTTTTTAGATTTTGTACTTTGGTTTAGGGTATACTATATAATTAAGACATATAATTTTGATGACATCAATTCCAAACTCTTGACTTTAATTCTCAATTTCCTTTCAGGCTGTGAGATTTTAACTTGCACTGTACTCTAGTATATTATTTACATGTAATAGTACTGCAGCATTGCAATCTGACATATCATACCTCAAATGAAGAAAATTCCCTGACATCTTGAGCACCTGCAGATAAGAAACGGTTCATTCCTCCATTCCAGTGAAGCAGTTCCGCACAAGCATTGTCTATAAATACTACACCATGGTTTAACTTAGTTTCTATTTTCTCCCACAATTCTCTGCTACACTGACCAATAGACTTCATTATTGTTATTAAATATTACAGGTCCTCTAGAACAACAATCATCAGGTACAACCTAGGATTTCAGCTTATGTTTGGATATCTACAACAACCTAATATAGAAAAAGGTTTTATTACAAGATTGTTCAAAATTATCTTCCATGACGGAGGGTGGGGGGGGTAGCCTACAACTTAATTGTTTCTTCTCGGGATGCTCAGCACGAATTACAAGTAGGCTACACCCTCATTAACTGAGTGAAAACAGTGTCTATAACTCTTCCATAAAACCTTAGACTTAGAGGACACTAGTGCCACATATCTTATATCAATCGAAGCATGAGTACTGACTGGTAACATAGGGTCTTTATTTTGGCTTCAAATGTTATATAAACTATTATTTAGACATTTATTCATATGACAAGCCTATAATAAACTCACTACACCATCGGATGGAGCAGATTTAAACGGTTTAAAACGGTCACCATTTAATGATTTAATCTAAAAATGGTGAGTTTAGGTTATAATAAGTCTCCAATAACAAATAGGCATATCATTGTTACGACAATAAACAATTTATGCCACATCTTGTCAAAACTGTGATAACTTCGCTCAGAATAAAGTAATTTGAAAGAAATTTTCAATATATTATTCATTTTGCATTATCTATTTTTGATCTATTATTATTATAGCAAGAACGGCCAGCTCGTTTATCTAAATCGTTCATAATGCATCTTTAATGAGTTTTTAAGTCAAAAAGGCCTCCAATCGACTTTTCACTTTTGTCAAAAAATGGTGCATGTGATAAAGTTTAGACTTTAAATAGTCAGGCCATTTCATCTAGTTCAGATCCGGGAGAATGTGAATTAAAATTGGTCAACGATCAGGCCTGTGTTACCATTTCATAGGCCGTGTAATTTACTAATTATTAGACATTACCGGTAGTATAAGTTAGGCCTATTTTTATTTAATTTAGATGAGGACTATTACAACTTACAAGTTCTAGCTCCTGCTTTTATTAGTCACAGGATGTTCCATATTTATATGCTTATTATGCGATTGACGGAGGGTAGATTTACCACAGACGTTTGAACGTTTCCCTTTTCATCTGTAAAAAGACGAATGGGGTGTTTGATGAACACTTTCTAAAAAACTGATTTTTGGATTTTTGCAGAAGAATGAAGATCAGAATACTTCGACTTTTTCCACGTAGCATAGAGTTATCTTCCCTTGATGTGAGTTCTCTAAAGAAGTGAGTTGTATATAGCCATTGCAATACTAAGGTGCTTCTTTTCGGAAACGCTGTCCTATATTTAAACCCAATTGGTAATTAAGAATTATAACTTGTATGTATGATTAGGTGGACATCCCCGACCTTTCACAAATGTGACAAAATGCTGCCTATAGTGTCAAACACACAATAACCGTCCTTGGGTCATTTGGAAAGAAAAGGCAAGTGCATTAACGCCGGCAAGACCTATGTGAATGCACAAACAAATTATACTATTCAAAAAAAGTAGGGGATATTTGATTTTTAAGTGTTATTAAAGTCACCTAATGAAACTGACGAAGAAACAAATGACAAAATGAAATGAAGTTCACATTCATCGATTTATTCCAAATGATCGTTAGACTAAGTAAGGCACAGACTGACCATTATAAGGGTAAAATGATACCCGGGGTCAAACAGCAAAGTTACCACAGCATCACAACCAAGTCAGTAACGGGTAAAACCTCCTCTGTTTGCCAAACAAGCATTGATCCGACGTGGCATACTCCTAATGAGACGTCTAAGGTCATTTTGGTCCAGATTGTCCCATTCCTGTTGCAACACAGCAGCAAGTTTTTGGACATTGGCAGGACGTTGTTGACGTTGACGTAACCTCTGTCCAAGCATGTCCCAGACATGCTCGATGGGGGAGAGGTCGGGACTCAGTGCTGGCCAAGGTAATGTGGTGATGTTCTGTTGTTGGAGGTAACCTGTAACGATCCTGGCCCTGTGACATCTTGCGTTGTCATCCTGGAAGATGAATCGGCGGCCATGACGTCGTGCGAACGGCACAACATGGACTGCCAAGATGTTGTCCCGGTAGTACTGGCCTGTAACACGCCCTGCAACAACATGTAAAGCCGTTCTTCCAGCAACAGTGATGCCTCCCCACACCATAACAGAACCACCCCCAAATCGATCATGTCTGATGACGTTAACGTCTTGGAAGCGCTCGTTTCGACGACGCCACACCCTCCTACGTCTGTCCAAAAAATCAACAGTGAACCTTGACTCATCTGAAAACATCACATTGCTCCAGCGTCGATTATCCCAGTGTTGACGATCCCTACACCAACGACGTCTTGCCTGGATGTGATGATCTCTCAAACAAGGGATCACGCGAGGACGTCGGGCGCGAAGGTGACCCCTATGCAGTCGATTCCGAATCGTCTGGCCACTCACTCTCACACCAGTGTCTGTTTGAAGACGAGCGCTGATCTGATTTGCTGTGATGACACGATTTCTCAAGGCCAAGGTACGGATAAATCGATCCTGGGCTTGAGTTGTCGCCCTTGGTCGACCTGAGCGTGGTCTGTCCTGTACAGATTGTGTATCACGGTATCTGGACCATAGCCTGCTTATGACAGACTGAGAAACATTCATCGTCCGCGCCACAACCGCCTGTGTTGTGCCGATCTGTAGCATGCCAAGGGCACGTAACCTTTCATTTTGGGTAAGCCGACGCATATCAAAATTTGTTTTCTGGTCACTAAAACAATTAAACTGATGTTTCCACCCTGGAATTCAATGCCACAATGACTGTAACATTCAAAGTCAGAGTCGTGCAAATCTTGGGTTGGACCCCCATGATGATCCCAAGCATCACCTGCATTCCATGCGGTAGCTATTGGTGCGTTTGGGCGTCACATGTAACTGGAAATGTTTCTTCTGTTAGGTTCTATAGTGACTTTTTTCGTAGTCATTTGCATATTTTAGTATTATGCCCCCAAAATCAAATATCCCCTACTTTTTTTGAATAGTATATAAATTACAGTCACTGACTGTTGGAACCTTCGTAAATTTTAAACGGGTATCTTCGATTATGGACAAACTACTTAACTTTGGTTTTTATAAACATACCTGCATTGAAAAATATAATTCCCATTCCAGTAAAATCTCTGCAAAATTTATAGCTTTAGCTTTTTGAAATATTTTGGTTTTTTATAATCATATTTTTGGTTTGAGAGTTGGATGGGTGAATTTTCTTTTGAACACAAATGCGGCACAAAAACAATGACATTCGTTTTACAGGCCTTAAATTTTACCCATGATTCGCCATGAATATCTTTAATATGATATATAATATGATAGATTAAATGTATATGTACAGGGTATACATTACAATTATGGGGTGATTTAAGAATTATTTACAAGAAATTAAAAGATAGTTGATGATAAAGAATATATTTACATTATGAACAATCAAATATTGCACCATATCACAGTACAGTCAAAACTGTCAAATCTAGAAGTGATTGCGCACTTCTTACGAGGTCTTACAGGTTGTTTTTTTTAGCATTATTGGATTGAAAGAATGATATCAAATTGATGATACACTTGGAAACTTGTAATTGTCTTCAGTTCATATTTTTCATTGCCCAAACTAAAATGATCGCACTTTGTTTTGATTGCAACACAAGTTAAAACAATAAATAGATGGAATTAGGAGAAAAGAAATGTGATTTAAATTTCTTTCATTCTCTCTATTTAATTTTTTATTGGCAGGTAAATATGGAATCAAAAAAGATTTTATCCTGGACTGAAAGTAAGTATCAGACATACTGCTACATTCTGTGTCTAATTTGAAAGGCTATTTATGACTTCTGGTCATCTCATTAAATCTACAATACACTTTGCAACTCTGGATATAGTTTTGTGAAATTTGTCTTATTATTATTTTTCCTTGTTTCTAGAAAAGGCTTTGAAACGAAAAAGACTTGAAGAAAAGTTGGACAAAGATATTAAACAGAAGAAAAAAAGAGACCAACTTGTAAAAGAACAAGAAGAAAGAGTGAACTCTAGAGATTTGAATCTATCAAGTACCATTATAATGTTGATAAACCATATAAAAAGATATTCTGGTTCTCAGATTAGCAGATGATAGACGAATGTTGAGTGGAGAAGTCCGATCTTTGTTAAAATTCATTTAGGTACACTAAAAAATAAAATAAAAAAAGTGCAAAGAACCCCTCTCCTGTATCACATTTTTTGGAATGATTGTCTGATGACCAGAATATATTTTTTATGGCCTAATTTTTATTACTATAAACATAAAATCCTTTCTTACTAAGACCAGTTATCCAAGCTGCATAACAATATTATCTGTTAAGATGTATCTTGGTGTTATAGTAAAGAGATATCCTTTGTAGTGCCCTAGTGCTAAAACTGATTAATTGAGAATGAATCGTGTCTAAAGTGGATCTTGTAGTGAGATAACTTGTATATTTCAGGTAGTGGCCGACATTATACCATCTCACTAGCATTACCAGGCTCTATTTTAGAAAATGCACAGTCTCGTGAACTACGAACATATTTGGCTGGACAGGTAATTTTGTAATTTAGTAGTGAAATAAGAAAGTAACTATTTTCTTTAAAGGGAGATAACCTCTATGTTCGGAGTCCAAAGTGAAGTTTGACAGATAAAAACAAATCTTCTACTTGATCACTTGTCAATGCATATTCTCAAAATAGTAATATTAGATCTAAAATGGTTCAGGTTAAAGGGGCTGTTACAAAATGGATCAAGCCAGTTCTGTGTGGAAAACTTTTAGAAACCTTTATTCTAGTCCTGTAACTATCCTCAAATTCTACTTTATTTCCAAATAACTGGATAACCATTTTTATATAATTGCTAATGTTCTGGTAAGTGATTGTCTCTATTTCCAAATCCCTCATACAGTCACTTCTGAACAGCTCAATATTTTGAACTGAAATTTTCAGACAAGCTAATTGGGCTATTTCTTCACATTTTTGCGCCCATTTATATCAAAATCTGGGACTGGTCCTTTAAGAAATTTAAAGCCTTAACATCAGATACACTATGTTAAGTATAAGGTCATGTCCATTGGCTAAGTAATGTGTAAGTTTATAATTTATTATGCATTGCTAACAATTTATGTTATACTGTTTGTATTTGTAGATAGCCAGAGCAGCAGTTGTATTTAATGTGGATGAAATAGTTATTTTTGATGAGTCTGGTGCAGGTTTAAGGTAAACTCATCTCATATACTTTGTATCTTTCTCTTTTTTCTATACACCCACATTTTAAAGATATTTGTCATATGTGGGTACCTGGTTTGTGTTGCATAGACAAACCTTGCATAGGTGTTACCCCCTCTCTTCTCTGTTGAACTCTAAAAGGTTTTTGACAATAGCACCATCAAGTTTACAGATTATGTTCTTTCTTATATAGTATAATTGCAGTATATATATTATTTTGACCTCTTTTCATTTTTATTTATAGTGAAAAAGATAGTTATGACAATTCTAGACTTAAAAAAGGCAAAGGAAATGTTCAGATGGCAAGAATTCTTCAATTTTTAGAATGTCCTCAGTACTTACGTAAAAACTTTTTTCCTATGCATGAAGACTTGAAATATGCAGGTATAGTATGATATTTCAAATAGAAGGATAGCCAGTCATGTTTCTTTTAGTATGTACATTTAGGATGCACTGGTAAATAAACCTAAAAATTTCACTTTATAAGACAATGCTTATCATTAAATTTTTTATTTAAAGAGCCAATGCATATGTTGGTTTCTTAAGAGTATTGAAAAACATCAATACCTTGACTAAGTTCGATAACGAGCATATTCTGCTCAGGTTAAGCAAAGTAATAAGCAATTTGATTTTTAAGTGCTTTATAAAAAGATAAATGAGTTATCTATTCATTCTTTGGATTGAGTTGGGGAACATCAGCATTACTGGTGACTTGTAGTTGAAAACTCACTAGAATAGTTTTGACTAGTAATATCAAACTGTATCAAAATATATATTTCCACATCAATTATGTGCAGCCATTGCTCTTGTCAACAAGGGGGGTTGGATGGCTGAATGGTTAGCACGTGCATGCTGTATCATAAAGTCTGTCATTGAGCCTACTGGCGTGGTTTCGAATCCCTGGTTGTACGTGACAAGGAGTAGGGTCGCCTCTCCAACCTCGTGGGTTTTCTCTGGGTCCTCCGGTTTCCTCCCACTGCTAAAGACCCCTACGCGCAAGCGAATTATTGAAATAAAATTGAACCGTGTGTTAGTCCCAAAATGACCTAGTTTGTGTTGAGTGGACGTTAAGCCCCATTGCTCTCTCTCTCTCTTGTCAACAAGAACTTGTAATTAAAGTCAGGGTTATTAAAAGTTTTTTTTTTCAAACTTACTGGGATTCAAAGCTTCAAAAAATTAAACAGATTTATAAACATCTGGATTGATTAAAGTTGTAAGTCACAACCTGTCTTTATATTTGTAGGGTTATTGAATCCATTGGATAGTCCACATCATATGAGGGCATCTGATGTTGTAGAATATCGAGAAGGTGTGGTATTAGATAAACCTCCAAAATCTGGAAAATCTTTTGTTAATGTTGGATTATATCAAAGAGTAGGTAGTGTTATTCACATTTTATTAAACTTCTTTGTAAATTAGTTGGCAAATATATTGCAGTCAGATGCACACTGACTGTCAAATTATCAAATGGTCATGGGGATGGATTGTTAGATGCACATTGACTGGCAATTAAACTTTCCGATGACAGGTAGATTGTCAGATGCACATTGACTGACAGTAAATTTCCGATGACAGGTAGATTGTCAGATGCACATTAGTTGCATTTACACTTGGCAGCGATAAAACTGAAGATGTTGAACTGGTTACATTGCTATACAATAACTGTTCCTGGCACACTAAATGTGGAACTCTTCACAGAAAAGGTTACCCCGATGAAAACAAATGTGGGTGATAAGGTTACATTTATTTGGCCCATTCATTTTCTGTATTATTGAGAATTATGGAAAAAATTCCATAGAAATTAGTATTTTTCGAGCGACTTGATGCTCATCTTGAATGTGTTAGCAGTCTCACTAAAATGATATCACCCTACGACAGCCTATGAGAGTAGACGAAAGCGAATAGTCATATTGTTTATAAATAGCCTGCATTGCATTGTTAGCAGGAAATAGGTTCCAAGGGCCAAACTTGATATTCACCCATGGACAGAAAACTGTTCACAGAAGAGATACCATTTGCACTGCAAGACCATTTCACTTTGACAGTCCAGCTTGGAACTTTTCTCAGAACAGAATACTTACAATTGACCAATTTACACTACTAAAAATTTAAAAATGGTAATGTATGTGAATAGGGTTTATGACAGCAAAATGGTCCTATTGAGAACCCTGTTTTGTGACTTGCCAGCTCGTTAGTCTTGCATAATTAATGAAAATCTATGTACAGTATAAGAGTAAGGTATTATGCACTACAACTTGCAATTAAAATGACTGTATCTTATGAGTATTGTCTGAAAATTTTACATACAACCTAATTTAAACACCCTTGTAAATGTGTAGTTAAATCATGTCAGATCAAAACTTACTTTTTACCCGAAACCAACAAAAAAAAGTCTAAAGCACTGATGCCAAGTACTGTAGTATGTTTGATATTTCTAGGATGTATTAATAGATAGACAGCTAGAAGCAGGTGTTCGTGTAACTATACAGTTAGATTTAAATACGTCTGGTATGTACTGGTAATTTATTACTGTAGTCATTTCATTGATCTAGTTAGAAAATTAAATATCAACAATCAGAATCACTGGAAATTTGGTAAAAGATTGGTACTGAATTCATACCTCAAAATATTCTACATCTGCTTACTTTTTCTAGAATACCTGTCCAGATACCACTTCTCATTTAAGAAGTCCAAATCGGCACACAATTTTGCAAATTTACCTTCGCAAAAACAGATTTACAAAGTATGACTGAATACATATGACCTCATTTGAATTTGAAAAAGGGCTTCCCTTCTCCTATTCTCCTAACACCCTGCAACTAAAAGCATTAAGCAAAATTTGACAATATATTTGTGTTGTGAAAAGCAAGATGATCAATACCTTGCCCTAGAGCTACATATTCTGGGGTTATAATAAATACTGTCATTTTGTACTTTGCAGATGAAAAACTAATAAAAGGTAAAGTTGTGTCTCCATCTACACCTAGAATAGAATCTGGGCTTTACTGGGGTTATAATTTACGTCTAGCAGCCAATCTGTCATCAGTTTTAACACAATGTCCACATAAAGGCGGTTATGATTTAACTATTGGAACTTCAGAAAGAGGAGATTCGGTTGATGATTTTGAACCGCCTACGTTTAAGTAAGTTTTTTGAATGCCATTCTTTTTGTTCTCAAATCAAGTGAATGTAGTATTGTCTTATTTACCAATATGGCAATACTGTAAATCAAGGAAACATTAGTGCATGAAAAGAATGTAAAAAAGGTGACCGATCATAATATTGCATCTCTGTTTTTTATTTCCTAGTACTGGTAAAAATAAATTTATAGTCAAAAGGACAGCTTTATATTCTGATTATCACCATTTTAATTTAACAAAGCATGGCTTCAAAGTTAAAAGTACTCTTTAGCACCATCATCTCCTATATTGGTCCAGCGTAGTGTAGTAATCAGTCATTACCAAGCAGTAGTCATTTTGTGTGGTGGGGATCACGTGGCTAAGTGGATAAGACTCTGGCTCGCTAGCCTGGAGGTCAGGTGTTCGATCCATGCATTGGCCGAGAAAGTTCATCCAGATTTTCCATCGTGGTTTCCCCCTTGTCAGTGATGCAGGATGGAGGGCCGGACAAGGATAGCTATCTAGTCATTCGGATGGGACGAAAAACCGAGGTCCTGTGTACATATTGGCGTGCACGTAAAAGATCCCTTGGCAGTTGGAATTTGATATAAGAGTAGGCCGTAGCGCTGCTGCCCATCTTCATTAGCCCAGTTTAGGAGCAGAACATTTCATTCCATGTGTAAGGCTACTAGTTTTAGGGGAGCCACAATGGCTAAGTGGGTAGGACGCTGGCTCGCTAGCCTGGAGGTCGCTTGATCGATTCCTGCATTGGCCGAGAAAGTTCATCAGGATTTTCCAACATAGTTTCCCCTTGTCAGTGGTGCAGGATGGAGGGCCTGACAAGGACAGCTGTCTAGTCACACATTGGCGTGCACGTAAAAGATCCCTTGGCAGTTAACTCGATAGAAGAGGAGGCTATAGTGCCGCTTCCTGAGCAAAATATCCCTCATAGCACACTGTATGTATGGCGTATGCCCATCTTTATTAGGCCAGTCGAGCAGAACAGTAGGACGTTAAACCCCATTTCATTTCATTTCTACTAGTTTTAATTGAATTGATTAAGTTTATGGCCTATCAGAATAATTGGACATATTATGAATGTTTGCTTAATGTTTTGGTTATTCTCTAACATTGTATTATAACGTGTTATTTATAGGCATGGTATTATTGTCTTTGGAGGAGTTCAAGGTTTAGAAACTAGTCTAGCAGCTGACAGTACACTCAACATTGATGATCCTTCATTATTATTTCAACATTATCTCAACACATGTCCTAATCAAGGCTCTAGAACAATTAGAACAGAGGTATAAATCATTCTATTTATCAAATGTACATAGTTTCCCATAGTAGATTCTTTAGGAAACTTGACTGAAAAATTTGAATTAGACCTTACTTACAAATACTGATATCAAAAGCATGATACATTCAGAAGTCATAAGAAAACTATTTTTTGAAAATTCACCCTTACTTATCAAGACATTTTATGTTATTTTTTTGGTGGCTCGGATTAGCTATATAAATCATGTGATTTCATTGCAGTCACGGTTGTCCAACAAATTTCTTATAGCATGCCAGCTTGATTTCTGCTTATGGTGTGGTGAATATCCTTATAGTGTGCTGGCTTATAGTGTGCCAGGTTGATATCGGCATATTGTTGTGAACGTAAACAATATGGCTAAGACTGATTTGAAAACTGTTTTTTGATTGCTTCGCAGACTTAAGCTACGATCAAGGGGAAATAATTTGAATATGTCAATACCCCATAGATTAACCCAGGACATAGGGGACTAGCACGGAATGAGACAACTGGGGATACAGAGAATGAACCTGATATTTTACTGCAGTCATTATATTGTAGACATTCATTGGCTAGCACACTAGGCTCACTAGCCAATAGGGGCATATATCAAAAATACTGGTCTTAGAATGCACTGGTTCAATCAATCTGATTAAAACACAGATCCAATTTCGTTTCGTTTTTTATAGTTCAAAATTTCGTTTTTACTTGTCTTTACTACACTTGGATCTGGAAGACTTGTTATTTAACTCGTGTTCTGCTTGAAATGAGGGGTCAGCCAATCAAATGGTCTGTCGAATCGAGCGTTTGACCTTTTTTGCGCGGAACTGTGGGTAGACATTACCAGCGATAGAAATCAAAACAAAGCAAAAGTAGATTTAAAAAAGCATGGCGGTCGCTAATTGGTTAATCGAATGACTGACGTTATCGGGTCAAATGTCACTTGCTTAGTACCTGACGTCATAGAACGTGAACTCCCACTATAACTTGTTAGATCTACATGTAGTGTAGGCCATCGAAAGTATAAAAAACGAAACGAAATATAGATCTATATTTTAATTAGATTGTGGTTCAATTGAGAGCGTTTACATCTAGTCCTCGTATTTGACAGATGCTTTGACCCATTCAATCAATATCCATTTCTTTGGAGCACCAGACGACATTGGATCGAAGAAGTAATATAGGTTTAAGATTAATATTAAAGTCACAAATCAGGTTACTTACGTATGTATGCCTACATGTACATAAATGATACGCAGATTAATTTTGTTTTTCAGGAGGCCATCTTGATAACCATGTCAGCTCTGAGACCAAAACTTATATCATCAGGTTTTAAACCAGAACGCTCTTGACCAATAAAACTTTTAAATATTAATTGAGCTGTTGAGTTATATTAATAGAAAATGAACATTGTGGCTTATTGATTAGGTAAACTAAGATTTCCAGGCAACGGAGACAGCCCACCAAGCAGCTTAAAGCCCATCCTTTTTTATACGCCCACATTTTTATGTGGACGTATATTGTCGTTGCCCCTGTCCGTCCGTCCATCTGTCCACAATTGTTTGTGAACAGTCTACAGGTCACAATTTTTATCCGATTTCAACGAAACTTGAAATATAGGTTTATCACCCTAAGATCTCGGTTCCTTTCGATATTGGCATGTATCGGACTGTAACATCATGGATTATGGCCCCTGATTGTACGAACAATCACGTTTTAAGCTTGTGAACACTGTAGAGGTCACAATTTTTATCCGATTTGTTTTAAACTTGAAATCTATGCTTATAACCCAAAGTTCTCGGTTCCTTTTGATATCCGCGCATATCGGAATGTAACTTCCTGAATTATAGCTTGTGGACCATATAGAGGTCATAATTTTTATCCGATTTAAAAAACACGTATTATTATATCACCGTTACACCCTAAGGACGACTGAGTTCAAATTTCGTGAAAATCAGGCCAAAACTGAGAGACAAAATGGCCACCGTTCGTTCTCAAATAGCGTAAAAATATGGTATATCAAGGTTGTGGACCCTATAGAGGTCACAATTTTTAACCAATTTTGTTGACACTTGAAATGTAAGTTTATAACCCAAAGATCTCAGATCCTTTCGATATTCGCACATATCGAACCGTAACTTCCTGAATTATGGCCCCTGATTGTACGAAAAATCGCGTTTTTAGGTTGTGGACCCTATAGAGGTCATAATTTTTATCCGATTTAAAAAAACGTATTATTATATCACCGTTACACCCTAAGGAAGACCGAGTTTGTTTTTTGTGAAAATCGGCCCAAAACTGACAGACAAAATGGCCGCCCCTCGTTCTCAAGTAGCGTAAAAAAATGGTATATCAAGGTTGTGGACCCTATAGAGGTCACAATTTTTATCCGATTTTGTTGAAACTTGAAATGTAAGTTTATAACGCAAAGATCTCGATTCCTGTCGATATTTGCGCATATCGAATTGTAATTTCCTGAATTATGGCCCTTAAATTGATTGTAGGAAAAATCACTTTCTTTTTAGCTTGTTCTCTATCCATCTCACAAATGTGGGCGTATCCTGTCTGGCAGCTGCTGGTATTTTATTCTAATAGTTTCGAAGTGGAAGTCATTTTGCTTTTAATTAAAATATTAACATGTCAGCTTTGATGTATGAGAAAACTGTAGCATAAAGCTAGTTATATACAAGTAAACATGTGGCTTTTGTTTGTTTGTTTATTTACAGCAACTCATAAGATAAAAGCAAAATGATTTGTACTTTAGATTTTACAAACTAGATCATGAATAATATATTAAATCAGCTTAGGCTGGAGTTCTCCTTTAGTCTCATCTACTCTTTGGATGACATAACATTATTCAGCCAGTTTTTTATTCTTTGCTATGACTTTCTAAGAAATCTCATCCAATTTACTAAGTTGTAAGGGTTTGCACATTAATGTGACAATACTTATTATCAAACCTAATTCGATTGCTTGACTTCCTAAAGGTACTAGTAAGCTGATGATTAATTCAAACAAATTTCTGAACTCTGGTATGTAGAGGATTGGGAGGTGTGGGGCAATAACTTTTAAGTTCGAAGTTATAGTTCTTTACAGTTGACAAGGGCTAGACTTAGCTTGTGTAAGGCTTTCTCAGCATGAAGCTGATCCAGATACATGTAGCAATAGTGCCTGAGCATCATAAATTGTCATAGCATAGCAAACACGAACAAGGAAGAGGAAATTGTTTTAAAAAAGGAATGGAAAATATTTGTCATGATTTACAAATAATATTACCCAGTTTCCTGGATAGTTAGCAGGTAATGTACATGTAAAGACCCATGCTTCCCTCAGTTTTCTATAAATCACTTTGCTGCCATTTTGTAAAGAAGTCTGTGACAGCTGATTATATTTTCTTACAAGTACTGTAGTCTTAAACATCGGTCATCATCCTCAGCTTATTTCTATTGTGTTTAAAACACATCTTCCTCTAGTCTTAAACATCGTTCGTCATCCTCAGCTTTGCTCTATTGTGTTTAATATACATGTCCATCTTCCTCTAGTCGTGAGGGTTGAGTAATCACGGGGCCTCATAATCAACTTGCGATTATTTGATTCAATCTATTCTGCTATTGTCACAGTCTTGCAGATGCAAACAAAAATGAAAAAATTTTGATTCAATTAAAATTGATGAACCAGTGCATAAAGGGATTGGCTTTGCAAGATGGGTAACGATACATGTAATTTTCTACATTTAAAATTTTATATTTGTAGATTGATACAACCAATTTTTCATTCCATAAGTCCAAAATAAAAAATTAATAGACTGATAACCAGACATTTGTTTAATATTCCTGAAATGAAAATTTAATCTTATAGAGCTTGTCCTATCAATAACACACAAGAAAAATCCTAATTAAACAACACTTTATTTTGACCCAAATTATATATTAAGGTCTTGCCGACCTTTTCGCCTTAAAGGTATATCAACAAAAGGGAAACGCATATATCAAGTTTGATACATTTTTTTTTCATTGTCATAAATGAATCGCTTAAATATAAGAAATATTTTAACCGGTTCCGTATCTTTTGGATCATTTTCTGGTTCATTATCACCTTTGCCCTTTCTCGACTTTTTTGAGCCTGAAAACCTTTGTATTACAGCTTCAGATATACCGTTTGGTATTCTAATTTTAACCTTACCACTTGTTCCAAAACTTCCTTCAATTGTTCCATTTTCACCAGTGGATAGAACAACCTTTAAATTGGTAAACAAATCCATATTTGTTGTTTTCTTAAACAAATTCTTTCCAATAATTGAATATTCATCTGCCACCCTATCAATGCCTCCTTCGCGCTTCTTAATTTTAAAAATCTTGAGTTTGGGTAACGATTCTTCTGCATATTTTGCACTTGTAAATATTTCTAATAGTCGACCATAAAATGCCAGGCGACAGGTATTTGCATGAACGTCTGTGTCCAATTTAGAACCAATCACAAGTGAATTTATGGCACATGTGACTGGTTTATCCAATTCGATTAAAGCATATTGTTTTATAGGCATCATTCTGTCGTCTTGGCCATCACACATATCCTTAGTCAAATAACTATCTTGATACCTGTATTCCTTTGAAAAATCAAACTTGTTGTCACCACTGTCTTGTTCACATCCAAAAACAGTAATTTTTCCCATAACTGTTTCGTGTCCTAGTGTTATATGAAACTTAGCTTTTGTGTTAATGTTACCTTTAAAGAAAGCTATTTTCTCAATAGACACAATAGCTGCCATTATGGTGGGCAAGGCCCCTGGTGTACAAACTAAACCCCTTTCCATAAGCTTGGCATCAAATTGTGTGACACATATTCCAGCTCTATCTCCCTGGACTATCTTAACAGCTGGCTTTTTAAATATTTGGATGGATTTTATTTTCTTTTGAACTGAAAGTGATGGAATTTCTAGCGTATCGTTGATTGAAATGGAACCCTGCAAGCAGGTGCCAGTCATTATAGTGCCTTGACCTCTGATTGAGAAACAGTGATCTACTGAAAATATAAATGGTCCTATTTCATTACGATTAGGTAAATAGGTATGATTTTGAATGGTTGTGATCAAATCTTCTACTCCAGCAGAAGAACCACTATCAGCATCTGAGCCTCCAGGTTTGGCTGATGTACAAACAATTGGGCAGTCTGCAAATCTTGTCCTTTCTAATGTTTTCAGCATTCTTTTCTTCATTTTTTCAATTGTTGGCTTTCTCTTTTCTTCTTCAATTAGGTCTGTTTTATTTAGGACAACTATCATCTTTTCACAAAGAATTTCCCCAATGATTAAGCATTCAGCTGTTTGTGTCTGCATTCCCTTAACAATATCTACAACAAGTATCATCAAGTCTATGATGGCTGCACCACCAATAATTGTTCGAATCAGACTTGCATGTCCAGGACAATCCACCAACGTGTACTGAACCTTTTCATAGCTCCCCAATTCATTTTTCAAGTGAGGTGGAATATCAACAGCAAAGGATGAGAAGCCTAAATCAAGAGTTATGCCCCTTTCCTTACTCTGTGGATTTTTATCAAAACTCGCCGTACTTGCCACTGTACTTAATGCCTTTGATAAACTTGTTTTTCCGCTGTCAACATGGCCAAGAACTCCAACATTAAAATTAAACAACTTTGCCTCGATGTCCATGATAAACAAAACAAAAGAACGATGAATGAATAATTTCAATAAACCAAAGTCGTGGGTTGCACAACAACCGGGCTATAATTGAAACCGGAAGCTACTGTTATCGAAGGTCAAATGCCCCAAGAAAACGAAAACAAATCGAAAGTAAAGCGGGGCGTTCTTTTGGAGAAAGTTAAAATTGTAAAATTGGGGGGTTTTCCCCCCAGACTATTCTCCTGCAGTTTTATTGTTCCGGCCAACACTGTCTTAATTTTAATATGTATTATGCAACAATTTCACTGATTGAAAAATTAAACAATTTTCATAAAGATCCGATCTGAAATGTTTACAAGATTTGATAGTATTAGTAAGACAAATGATCTTCCCTACTTGTGCCGTGGTAATGCTGTAAGATATAGCCGGGAAAATTGTAAGCTTCTTCTTTTTACAAACTGAACATATTAAAAAGGCAGGTCACAAACTAGGGGTAATCCACTCTGGGTGGTAGATGGACGTTCACCCAACAATGCTTTTGTCACAGTTGTTAAATGAATTTAGGTAATATTGGCACAGTTAAAAAAGGAGCTGTCTGGATAGAGTTATTTATTGCTGTGGCCAAAACATTATACATTCCTTTTGGCACCAATAAAAAGATCCTGCAAAAAGACTGTGGAACATAAATAAAAATCTTTAGATTGCATTATCTAAAGATTTTGCATTTAAGTCTTCACTGGACTCGTCTACGCAGATATTTTCAACTACATTTGGCAATCATTTACTCTCATTTCCTGCCTTATTTTTAGCTGGAACAAAGTTTTGGGGAAACAATACTGTTTAGTGTGGTTTCATAAAAGTATACATGTACTGTTGAAACATAATTTTTTCTTTTTTTTTTAAAATGTTATAATTTGTTTAGCCCAGATGGATGTAATAAACCTGATTGGTTAAAAGAATAAAGCACAAGGTATTCAGATATTAAACATATTTATTTGCTATTTTCATTTTCTACTCCAATGCATAATCATACCGAAAATATTACATGCATTAGAAATATTGTTAGTGAAACTTGTTGTGCTTGTATAATTATGAATGAATAGTTATTAGTCCTGCAACCTTTAAAATGATTTAATTATCAAAGACTATATTTCTTTAAATATTATTCAACATAATAATACAATATTATAATGAAGACAGACATTACACAAAATTTAAAACTGTACTTAATTTAATACTAATGGATTCATTTTAATGGGAATCACTATAAACTGGCTTAAAATCTGGCCAATCTGAACTGTTATTTTAAAATGAATTCACCTCTTTGATTTGGGTAAAATAAAATTGTATTTTTCATTGGATTTAATATGTTGATTTGTTCTGTGGAAGGAATGTGTGTCTTGGTTCAATTGACCCCAATACTGGCCATTACTAACTGAAATAATACATCAGATCAACCCTTCAATATTCTACTCTGACCTAAATCAAAGAGGTCTAGTCATTTAGAATAAAAGTGGGTGGGGGAATTCTCTCCTGCCTTTTACAAATACATATAAAATACGTCAACAATTTAAAGATATATCTCCTTAGCAATCGCAAATCCTAAACAATCGATTTGAAAACAAATCCACGACCAGAAACATGTATTGTCACTAAAAAATATCGCATCTTTTGAGAAACTACAAGAGGAGTTGTTTTAGACAATCTTCACATTCATTTTAATGAAACTACCATTATGTAGAACACATGTAAGATGATGAATGAAACAATCGCTAAAATTACTGAGCAATGTGGGAGTAATGCATATGCCTAAGTTGATGCTCTGTAATATCTGACTTAACTGAAGGCTCATTATGCATTTTCAGTTTTATTTTGTCATCATTAACACAAATATACTTTCAAATAAAAGTAACCTTAGAGGATTGAACATCAGATGACCTAATTATATTTGAGGGAACACATCTTTAAATAATTACAATTTAATTAAACCTATAAAAAGACTATTTAATTAAACCTATAAAAAGACTATCTCCACAATGTCAAGGTATAAAAATTTATTAAAAATATAAATAATTGACATGGAAGTGTTAGATTAGAACACTGGGGATGAGTTCCACGGTTTCAGATTCTACTCGCTCTTTCAAGCCTGATTCCAAACTTTCGGTGGGTAACTGCCAAGTACCCAACCTGGAAAGTGTTATTTCGATAGAGAAGAAAAAAATTAAACAGATTTGGAGTGCACATAAAAGATCAGTATTTGAAGAAAAGATAAAAAGTTCATGACAGTAGAATTCTCCCACCTCTCACATTCAATATTTAACCATTGCAATTACTGTGTGTTGTGACTTGAATGGTTTCCTTGAAACTGTGTATGACTGCCATATCTTCTTGTTTTTATAAAGAAATTTATTAGCTTCCCTTAAGTAAAACTTGTTAATCATTAGTTTTAGAACATAATCTATCTTGTTTGAATGTTTTAAATTTCACACATGTATGCTACAATATCATAAAATAAAAAAGATTCCAAAATGTACTAGTTAATAACTCTTTCTACTGCATTAAGTAAGGATCACATATCTCCATCCTGGCTAATACTATTTCTGTTGTTGTATTCTATCGACCGTTTTACTATCAATTTTCTATTCTCTAAAGTATGATTTTCCTGGGATAAAACAGCCATGTGGTCAATTTCATTTTGAAATTGTACAAAACCGTAAGGTTGAGGAAATCCAGTTTTTTTATCAAATGGAACAGTAGCTACTCTGACACGGCCAAACTGGGAAAAATATGTTCTTAGCTGTTTGCTACTGACAGTCCATGGTAGATTTGAAACCATGATCCTTAATCTATTTGCAGACATTGTAAATTGTGGAAACTATATCTGAAAAAAAAGAAAATTTTTGAATAGTGAAGAATTGGTTAATTTTCTTTCTGATTTACTAATCAAACTAGCCTGTACATTATATACAGTGCCCCACAGCATATTTTTTTTATTAAATTACAAGTTAACCCAGCTATCTATCAACTCAAATATTGGCAACTTGGTAAAAGCATGGACCCTATAATACATAGGGTCTATGTTAAATGAGTGTTTATTTGCCTAAAAATAATGTACAATTATATTCAATTAATTATAATATCCATGTTATGGCTAATTTCATTAATTTTATAACCATCATTTAAATTTTAATTATGCAAATAAGTATGCTACTTTTGCCAAAACTTAAAGATACATTATGGGAGATAAGATAACGAGATGGCAGTTCTCGTTATTATAATAGTTAAAAACTAGATAGTGTAAAGGTAATTTGCTGAAAATTTCAGTCAAATTGATCCACTATGAGCCGAGAAAGAAGCGGGTGAAATTTTGGCATAGTCTCGGTCATCATTACTAAAATCATTAATTAATATAAACAGCTTAGTCTCGATTATCCGCTTTTATTGATTTAATTATCAACGGCCGTTAGCGGCATGTAGGAATCTAATCCAGCCAACATCGAAGGCTAGCCTTGACATACAGAGTTTATTATGGTCTGGATAAGTTAATTAATGTCTAATTGATAATTTAGATAACATTTCAGGCCTAAAGAAAGACTTGTAATAAGCAGAATTTGCTCTTGCATAATGCATGATTAAGTTATGTATACAATAAAAATATCTATTTATTTTGTAAAAAAAATATCAATTGCAGGCAGTCCGGTAACTATTATTAGGCTACATTTAGTATACATGTACTCATGTAGTGATGTAACATGACATTTATTAATTATGAGTTAACCTGTTTTAGACAAATGCCCCGTGTCATAGTCCATACTCAAAATATAACCTCGGGCCTTCTAGACCATGCTTTATCTTAAAACTCTTTTACCATGTATACATGTGCAGGGCTGCACAGCTACACGTAGTTCCTTTAGGAACTGTCCGATCAGAGACAGTTCCTAAAGGCAAAGGAAAGAACTAATAAGGTACACGGACCGAAATGCTTGTGGGCACAGATAGACTAGAGGAGATCAAATTTTAATTTACCTTGCGACAGTCTCTAATTAAAAGTCAACTGATAACAAACATAAATACCTATGACAATTTTTTAAAGAGAATTTTCCAATAGGCCTACAAGTATTTGTTTGAAGTATTTCAAGGACAAGCATGTGCGTTCAAGGGGGGTTACTCTAAAATTACATCGCATGTTTTATCTACGGTAAGGACGAGAACAACAGATTTTTATTTTATTGTTTTACAAAAGTTCTGTTCCCAGTATCAAACTTTCAAAACCTCTTAATTTAGATAATCATCAATGTTGGGAAATCATAAACGTGGCATAGAAAGGAACCCTATGAGAAATTAGGTACGGTATTTGTATCCTCTAAAATCCAAGTTTGAATTTTGGATTATCTGAAGGAAGTAGCCTATATTAAACAGTTCTCTTTTTCTTCTGCGATTGCTGTAATTCCAATTGACCGTCTTCAGATTTCTGGAATAGAAGACTTAGATTTTATGATCGTAATAATAATTCTACTTCATCTTGTGTAATTAAACCATTTCATTCCTGTAGGCTCATCGGTTCTCGATAAGATTCCTAAAGATGATTCTAATTTCTAAAACAAACTGAAAATATGAACAACCTAATCAAATAGATGATACTATTACTTATATTTATATGTAAACGCATTATGGTACACGATTCGTCTTAAATATTGTATATTAGATGCCCATCTTTTCCCGGTAAGATCACAACATCAATGTTGATTAAAACTGGCAAATAATTCGTGTTTTCATTGTCGAAAGTTTTGAAGATATTGAGTTAGAGACTTAGCTACTTTAAATTGCTGTCTGGCAAGATCTAAGAGTAAGAATAAATAATGCAGAAGAACTGCAAGAAATGGTAAAAAATTGGAAATATAATGAGCTATATTACTTTTAACTTTAGTAACAGTGCCAGATGAATTGATAGAGGCTAGCCCCTCACTCAGTCTCACCGTTACTATCTCTCCTTATACCCATTTAATATGAAAATAACGCTTTACACCACCTCAGTTCGAAGGCTATTTTGGAATCCCTACCATCTATTTTTCACTGTGATTCTTCTTTGATCGCCAAAAGGAATCATTTCTCGACACAAATTTATAATAATTGAAAACTATATTCAAGTAGAATTTTGCGATTCAAAAACACAAATAAATTCCTTTGAATTGATCTGCCATGATCAAACCTGCATTTGTGCAGACCAGAGGTCACAGGTACAAAGCTATAGTTAGCCAATTCAACATCTAGGAATAGAATGTTAGCCTCTATATATAGACATTGTTATTAAAGTAACTAGAGCTATGCCAAACTGTTTGGCGTTAAATTTTTCTTTGACCCTTAAATTCACTGAGAGGATGAAATACATTACACCATTCATTAGTGCTAATGATGGAGCTAGCAATACTCAAAATTATTCTGAAACTATTTTTAAAATTATTATTCAATATAAAGATATGATGTATTTTAAAGTAGATTTAATTTGAAACAATACTGGAATTAATAAAACAAATTGATATGGTGTTAGGTTGGGCCAGGATATTGTTACCCCTGGAATGTTTGTCCTTAAAGTGAAAGAGACAAAATGGTTGTCTAAAATCATTGAAAGGATAATGTATTTATTTTTTTATTTTTTGAGAAAATTGTTACATGTAAAAGCCTAAATTTAACTAATAATTATAATCTTCTTTGAGCAGTATTTAGCAATTGACATGTAATAAACACAAAAACATAATATGGAACACAATTATAATGTTCTCCTTCAGAGTTCAGAAAAGTAGATTTCGATCTACACCTGTTCTTTTAACTTGATTTAAGATGCAATGTTCTTTTTTTTTGTTTGTTGTTTTTTTTTTGTTCATATTATTATCAAACCTTTGAAGGTTTTTGTGTTTTTTGAGAATTCCTCAGAATCTTTGAAGGTTCGGAAAAAAAGAACCCAAAATACCTTCTGATTGCTCTGACCTTTCCTGGCCATTAACCAACAGAATAGTCATCAATGAGGCTATATAAAGTATCCTGTCATTTCAGACTAATGTCATGTGTCACTTCTAGATCTTTTATTTATAATTAAGGCCAAGTTATAATATATAAAATGTATGTTGTGTTTCATTCTTTCAGGTCATTACAAATACATGTATGAAGTATTTTTATTGAACATCTCATGATGAAATGGCCCAGTCAGAGGTAACATCAACTTATATTTATAAGCATCTAATTAGTAATTATGTTTTACTTAATTTAAGATTGATTTCTTGTTATGATTGTTCATATTTCTCCGATGTATTTTAGATTGTGGACCCTCTGGAGGTCACAGATTTTTTATTTTTATTTTTGAAACTGTTACACCATAATCATGGTTGAGTTTAAATTCCAGTCAAAATCTCAGCTCTCCATTATGCAAACTGTGGAAAAACCAAACTTGTGTTAAGGATCAAAAAATCTTGGATGAGTTTGATTTGAGTGCGCATCTTACGTTTTCATTCTGGAGTTATGCCCCCACGTTATTATTTTCCATCTGTCTGTTATATACGCTCTTATTTTTATTTGTATTTTAAAGATTGAGAGAGAAGATTTGATTCCGGTACCAGAAGATCCTTATCCTCAGCAAGATCAATGTCGTCTGTGGATAGGAAATATTGACCCAAAAATAACAGAGTAAGTGAATAAATTGTATATTAAGAACATACATGTATATACATGGTTGATAGATGCTATATAATTGAAATCAATCGTGACTTTTTCACTTCATGATTTTAGTTTTGTTAGTTTAAGTAAGTTTTTTTTTTCGAATAAAAACAAATCTGATTAATTCCTTTGACCACAATCCACAAAATCTATGCTTTTTATTCTACAGGATCATATGAAAAAAATATAGTACATCGATCCTAAAGTGCAATCAAATTTGAAGTCAGTAATGACAGTAAATACAAAATTACAAACCTGTATAAGTGGTATGTGCAGTTTACCACTAGAATGTATCAAGAGCACAGACTTTCCATTAAAAAAAAGTATTAGCAGGTCTACTGGAAAGAGGAAGCATACACTGTTTTGTGCACAACACCCTACCTGTATATATTTATTCTCTCTGGAGAAGGAGAGTTTGGAATGCTAATAGATTGAAAATTGAATAGTTAACCAGACTTTGTAGTGAGGAAAAGATGTTTTGTATGTGTTTGTATGTATTTTTCAGATTCACCATTTTAAAATTGTTACAGAAATTTGGTCAGTTGGTCAGATTTGATTTTTTATATCACAAATCTGGGCCTGATAAAGGCAAGTCAAGAGGCTATTGTTTTGTTAGTTATAATACCAAAGAGGTAAGTTTTGTTTTTGTTATGAATGGAAGGTCATTATAAACAGTGGTCTTTCATAAATTTGGAAAAGGAAAAGAACACCTCTGAAATATTTGGCATAATTTTGAAGAGCTCTTTTCCAAAATGAAATAAGGGCTAGTCAAACCTTGCCTTTTTCAAAACTAATTTCATTTTCCTCTGACCTGGAATGAAACAATTGGAAAAGTCACTTGGTCTGCTACTCTCAGATACCCTTGGTAATAGTCAGGCTAATTTATGTATGTGAGTCATGGACAAACTTGGTGTTTGATTTGTTTCTGATTACAAGTACTGAAGCTGTTAGCATAGTATTTAGGCTTGATTAGCTCGATCATCATAAAGTAATACAATAGAGTTGATAGTTGTAGTCTAACAGTCAGCTTGAAATTTACCAAGGGAAACTAATTGTACCAGACCAAAATGTGGCAAAAGATACAAATAAAACAATGTTTTGAATTCTTAATATAGCTTCATTCATTAGTATAGGAATTAAAAAATTATGCTTGATCTGTTGCCAAATTCTTGAACCTAACCTAGGCACACAGAGGGCCAGGCTCCGGGTTACCTATTTAGGGTGCCAGTCTCTGGGTTACCTATTTAGGGTATTTTCCGGTATTTAGTGTGTTTTCCAGTATTTAGGGTGTTTTCCAGTATTTAGTGTTTTTCCGGTGTTTTCCGGTATTCAGTATAACATATTGTTTTCCGGTAGTTTTCTGGTGTTTTCCGGCATATAGTATTGTCGCCCATTTCTGTCCCCAAGTCCAAGTTTGTAACCCATTTCTCAGCCCGCTTCAAAAGTCTTTGGAAATCACATAATTTTATTTGAGGACAAATATTATTGTTCCAAGATTTAATGAAAAGCTTATTTGTCCACCAAAGTTTGAAAAACATTGTACAATAATGGGAATAATCTATATGGATGGATATACGTATAAAACCTTTTATATTACAGGAGGCTACTAAGGCTTTGCGTAAAGTAAATGGTAAATTTGCCTTAACAAAGAAACTTGTTGTCAGATGGGCCCATATTGAACCAGTAAGTTACTTGTTTCTTACTAATTTAAATGGACTAGTTAGGCCTACTCAATTAATGACTTTTATTTTGAAAAAATCAGCTTTTAAACCTGAATTTGACATCTATTTTCATTGTCTGAACATATTGTTGTTTTCTATATTTAATATTTTTGAGGATAACAGCACATATTGTATTTCAGGACACCAGTATTGAATCAAAGAAGAAAGCACCACAGACTGTGGTAACAAAACCAATTGAACATGCAGAAGTTAGGTAAAAATATTTGGTTCAAAACATTGGTTTTATAATAAGCTTTGTTTTGAAGGTGGTAAAAAAAACACCCTTATTAAATGTAAGCTAACGGTTACTACTGTATTCAGGATTAAAAATGATACTGAGGTATGACCACCTAAAAAAAGAGACAGAATGAGCCCATTAATTATCACACTTCGAACTCACCGCAGAAAAGATGTTTTGAACTAGAGATTGGACTGTGTCTGGTCTCAAAGACAAGAACTTACATGTTCATAATCCAGACACTTGAATGGTCCCACACTGCAGCCCAGCAAAACATACGGCAAATAGTACACTATCCCAGCACAACAGTTTGAGTAATCTTGAAAATGCTGCTTTCCAAAATTCTACTCACTCTCAATGCATACATTTCAAAACAAATCTCTATTTTAGTCAGAAATTTACCTAAGTCTGTTATTGTTGACACATTAAACCAAATTCCATTTTCTAATTTACATGTCTTTTATATTACAGCATTCATAGTAAAATAAAGGAAATAGAGGCCAAACTACATTCTATGAAAAAATCACAAAGTGACTTTTCAATATCAACAGAAATTAATGCAGTGCCAGGAACAAGCAAATTAAGTGCAGTGAATGTTATATCGAACACTAAGAAAAATCAAAACTATAAACCCTATGATAAATCAAGTAGTCGTGCACATCACAATAGGAAAAGATGATAGTGTTATTGGTTTACAGTTTAATATATTACATATAATACATCAATTAGATTAGATATGATATTTTCTGTGAAAATCATACAAAATTAGACAAACAGTGATCTGGTTAAGAGTAGAATACCAAACACAAATTTTCTTCAAGTATGCCTTTTCTAGGATAATAAGAGTATCAACCAGGCCTTGGAGTCTCACTTCCACTTTGGTAACATCTGTAAAGCTGTGTATACACTAGCCAAATGATTCGGTCGAATCAATCGGCATCTAAATTCGCCTAGTGTGTCCACTGTCATACGGACGAATGATTCTCCCAAATCAAATATGTTTGATATATTCGACCGAATTTTCATTCAACCGAATTATATTCGTCTAGTGTGTCCGTTTCGATGAAGCATTTGCACGATTGTAAAATTCATTAGCCAATCACCACTCATCATTGCCTCATATCAAGAAGTCATGTGATTGTTTGAAGACACGTTCTCCGCCATGTTCAATCATGTGTCGGGAAAGGTGATGCAATCAACTGGTGAATTGGGCGAATGATTCGTGTAGTCTGTCCACTCATTCAGACAAATAAAATTCGGCATTGATTGATTCAGGCAAATGATTCAGCTAATGTGTCCACCTCTTAACATATAAATTTTGTTAATTATCAAAATTGATTTCAACTAATATTTAATCTTTCGAAAACCTAAACAGGTGTTTTATAGTCCGCATATTAGAATGCTTCTCGCTTTGGTGGATATGACAATCCATACAACTAAAGCTAAAACTAGAGAAAAACGGTTGTGTTAGATACCATTAAAAAATCATAATTGTCCAATTGATGAAATATTTTACGCATGTATTTATTTGTTGATATTATAAGAGATTATGTCAATTTTCTTGTGCCATGTGACTATGAGTGTGATCTGTAAAACTGTGACATGTTTATGTAGTGTAGTCTGTATGTTTTAATGTTCAGTTCCAAAATGCTACACATTATTTTTTTTTATTTTTTCATATTATTGTTACATTGGGAGCCTCGGTGGCTCTGTGATTAAGATGTTGGCCCGATTACCTAGGTTCTGTGCTCACCAATTTGATATAATTTCCTTCATAGCACACTGCATATCATATGCCCGTCTTCATTAGCTCGGATGGAGCAGAAAAGTAGGACGTTAAAGCAAATTTCAATTCATGTTTCATCAGACTTTTCTGGAATTTTGATATAATTTCCATTATACCACGTAACCACACTGCATGGCATATGCCCGTCTTCATTAGCTCGGATGGAGCAATAGAGTAGGACGTTAGAGCAAATTTTATTTCATGTTTCATCAGACTTTTTTATTTCTTTCATTTCTTGTATATTTATTGTATTAAAGATTAAAATCAAATAATATTGTACGTATTTACATGCCCACATTTAAATGTGATCTTATATTGTTTGTCTTTTGGAGGGTTGTTACAGAGTAGTGTAACTATTGCCATTTAGATCAAATGATCTGTCATGAAGTGAAGTGTCAAGATTTGCATGTGACAAGAAGTGAACTTTCTCCAAGTTCTCTAGTTTCCTCCCACTACCTAAGAGCATTGTTCACAAGTTTGACTGACACTGACTGATATTTTTAGCCAAACAAGTCTAGTAAGTTTGAAAAACAAGATCTCAAATACTCTGACCTGTTAAAGCGAGAATTTCAAATTTTCTAAGAAAGTCAAAACATAATTATTTCTAGGTCTTTTGCTCAATAGGTTATCAAATCACTATTATACGATCATGGGCATTATTTCCCACCCTTAAAAATCTATGACACAGGAAATAATAACACAATTACCTCTCCTGTTTTGCTATTGACAACATGGGGCAGCCATTTTCAAACGTTGGAATTTGAAGTTAAAAATGATATTTTTGCCAATTTCTCAGCTGGCAATAGCGAATTATAGGATTATTCTTTAACAAGGTAGGACTGTTTATGGATACCATCTATTTTAAGGCTTTATTTTAATATATTTTAAAAATATAACTTGAAAATTTGCAATTGCAACTTTAAGCATTTACTAAATACAAGGTTTTGGTGACAAGAGCATATATTTTGTATATTGAGGTTGGTTGCCTTTTAGCATCATTGTTGCTATATTTTTGCAACATTCTCAGAGCTGTGTATATGTCTTTACCTGGCAGCAATTGTTTAAATTTTTAGAAATTGAATATAAATTACATATACCACTTATTGCTAATATGTTGCAGACAATACAGAAATACTGCTCAACAAAACAGTGTTTATTAGCAATTGATGGGGGACCGTACCACACACAAACAAAACCCATAAAACAAACCTGCGAAGATACAAAAACTACATAGAAATTGCAAACAACAAACATATATATAAAATCAAGTGAATGGATCCATGGGCTAAACAAATCATTGGAGGATAATTAGCAGTCAAAACAACACTAGTAATTTTGTTAATACAATGATTTGTATAATTTGAATTCTAATAAAAGTGGTTTTCCTGATATATATTCCATTATTCATGTTTCATCAGACTTTTCTGGAATTGATATAATTTCCATTATACCACACTGCATGGCATATGGCCCATATTTACTTCTTTTTAAGACCATTTCGACCATTTTTAGGGTTCATTTTGATTAAAGATATATTATTATGGGAGATTAGATAAAGAGCTGGCAGTTCTCACTATAATAGTTAAAAACTAGATAATGTAAAGGGAATTTGCTGGAAATTTATGTCAAATTGATCCACTTTGAACCAAGATTTTAGTGATTGAATTTTCGGCCTAGCCTCAATCATCATTACTAAAGTCGGTATGATAAAAAAATATAGTCTTGATTATGTAATTTTGGATTAAATCATCAATGAGCGTTGAGCAGCAAATCGGATTCAAATCCAGTGATAATCCGACACATAAGATGGCATCGAGAGTTGATTGAACCATATGTTAGTCCCTAGTTTGTGTCGAGTGGACGTTAAACCCCATTTCTCTCTCTCTCCCATTGTTTCACATTGTTGTTAATTAATAAATCGAAGAAGTCTGATGAATAGCATCAATTTCAGTTATTAGTACTGGAGTTATGGCCCTTTTTTTCACTTTGTTAAACCTTGTGAATGTTCAAACGACAAAACTTATCATCTGTATGAAATTTATGCATAATTTAAATTAGTGAAACAAAGAAGCCTTTTGAATTTCAGAAATTTCTGTTGATTGTGTCTAGAGTTATGCCCCCTTGTATCACCTTGTGAATGCTCTAACAACAAATTGAAGTTATGATCCGATCTGGGGGGTGGGGAGATGGGACTAACACATGGTTCAATTGTATTTCAATAATTCACTCGCACATAGGGGTCTTTAGCAGTGGAAGGAAACCAGAGGACCCGGAGAAAACCCACAAGGTTGGACAGGCAACCCTTATGATACAGCGCGCACATAACCATTCAGCCATCCAACACCCCCATCCATTCTGTATGAAGTTTATATGCTTAATTTAAATCCTTGTGGGTTTTCTCCGGGTCCTCCGGTTTCCTCCCACTGCTAAAGAATCGTATGTGCAAGCGAATTATTGAAATAAAAAAATTAAACCATGTTAGTCCCGAAATGACCTAGTTTGTGTCGAGTGGACTTAAAACCCCAATTCTCCCTCCCTCTTTATTTAAATTAGTAAGACGAAAGAACCTGTCAAATTTGAACAATTTCTGTAAATTACTTCAAGAGTTGGGGCCTTTGTTTCAGTCTGTAAAACCTTTGAATCCCCAAACGACTGAAATTATAATCTGTTCTGTATGAAATGGTCTTGTAAATGGCCTACAAATGAATAAATATGCAACAACCCTTGTCCACTACCCAGACGATTTAGCTGCTTTGGGCGTATGTTTTGTTGTCCCGCATCCTATCTTTATGAAATCATATCATTATAGCTCCAGAGATATATTAAGGGTTAATGATAAATGATGATTAGGTATGGACCGTGGTTTAGGATACCATGGAATACCATAAGGTCGATGATATGGAATTCCATGATTTAACATTACATTACAAATAAAAAAAAGAACTACATGTAGCTAAGTGATTAATTTCTTTCAAAGTTATAATGCAATCAAATTCAACTGCTAAAGGGTTAATGATTAATGGAGGCAGACCACCATTAAATTTCAGTTCGTCTATTTATAGCAATTCTCTCTCTCTCTCTTTTCTCCCCTTTTGCATGCCCATTTGTGTTGATTTTTTGGTCTAGAATGGACGAAGAGGGTTTGAATTAACATTTTCTGCCAGGTTTTGGTAAATATTCATGATTTTGAGGCGGAAGGATAAGAGGGTTATCAGGTTAGCTACGGCGATATGTACGGCAACTAGTTACATGTTTTTAGTATGCTTCTTCAAGTTTGTGTATCTCAAAATTTTGGTGGTCAACCTCATACAAATTTTAGTGCAAAGACATGACCATTTGTTCCTCTGTCTGTAGTGAAAAGCATTCAGCCCAACGAAAATTTGGGGAAAAGTTGGAGGTGGGCAAAGAGGCCAGAATTAACATTGAAGTCAATGGGGAAATTAATGGTGGTCTGCCTCCTAATATCGTTCGGGAGTTACTGGTTATTTTAGTTTCCCGAATTTTCCACCAGACGGCGCTGCTGATTGTGTCATTTCTTAACGTAAATAGTAAACACGTGTTTTTTTGTTGACGAAAATATTTCTGTTCCTTTGATTTAATATTAATCTAATTTCCATTTAGACATCCGTACACTTTGTTACGGTAAACCTACAAGAGCATGTTTCATACCATCAGAAAAGTCAAGGTTTGTTTTACATGATTTATGAGAAAGTGTAATATTTTCTGATGCATGAAATTCTGTCTGTTTCACTTTCAGTGTTTGTGGTTGGGGAAAGGGGAAAGAAGTATTAAAGTAGCTAAGTCTCTAACTCAATATCATCCAAAATCTTCAACATTGAAAACACAAATTATTTGTCAATTTAAATCAACATTGATGCTGTGATCTTACCGGAAAAAGATGGGCTTCTTCTGATATCCAATGTTTAAGACAAAATAAACATTTTGCCATTGGATTGGTATACGAATCGTGTACCATAATGCGTTTCAGCCCCAGTTGTAGCAAGAGACTCGAGGAACGAGGCTAGACATATTGCACCAAACCAAACGGTGTGTGTACACTGGAATAACAAGACGCTAAAAATTTGCATTCGATTGAGACTTCGGGCTTATTTCGTGGAACATAACTGATTTGAAATTAGAGTAAAAACGGAAACCATTGAATGTATATCAGTTTATATACATTCATATTACAGTATGATATGGGTTTTGACCCACTTGTGTCAATTTCTAGGTCCTTAATGTTAGCGATTTAGCTCCTTTAAGCAAAATTAAATATTGAAATATTGAATATTATTTTAATTATTCAATTAATATATACCTGAAGTTTTTATATACTATATAATATACAAAAGTATAGTAGATGCCGTATATGGTATTTGTGCAATAGTGGCTGTCAATTTAGATTAATCAAACCATGGACCTTATGTTATTATACCTTGTCCATATGATCAAACCAGAAGGGATGTGGAAAGAGTGGTTTATGATAATGTGTGCTGAGAGCATAAGATCTGTTCTTAAAGGAGCTAAATCGCTAATATTTGGGACCTAGAAATTGACACAAATGGGTCGCAACGCATATAATAATGTAATGTGAATGTATATAAACTGATTTACATTCAACCGTTTCTGTTTTTACTGTAATTTCTAATCAGTTATGTTCGGCGGAATACGCCAGAAGTCTTAACTGAATGGCAATCTTTAGCGTCTGGTTATTCTGGTCTACACCGATGATATTTATTGTGCATGCTCTCCAGATAAGAATATATAGCGTCACCTTTTGACATGACTTGCGGAATATGTCTAGCTGCGTTCTTTGAGTCCCTTGTATCAAAAGGCGCAGAAACGCATTATGGTACACGATTCGTGTACCAATGGTAAAATATTTAATTTGTCTTGAATATTGGATATTGGAAGCCCATCTTTTCCCTGTAAGATCACAACATCAATGTTGATTTAAATTGACAAATAATTCGTGTTTTCAATGTCGAAGATTTTTGATTATATTGAGTTAGAGACTTAGCTACTTTAAGTGGTATGGTTTGGATGCCAAGCTTGTACATGTAAATGTATGTCACAAACATGTCAATAGGGTCGACAGCCCAACCTCATGTAGGCCTAATATGTTTCTTGTGCCTTCCAGTTTCCTCTCACTACTGAAGACAGACCCTACCACTACCAGAATTGATTTTCCTTTATTGAAATGAAATTATTCCATGTTAGTTCCGAGTTGACCTAGTTTGCGCCAGGTCTTTCTTTATCTGCGCTTTATGTCTCACTTTAGTCTTAATTAAGAGACTTAAACTATGTTAGAGGACAATATCACTGTTAATATTATACTCTTGCTCTATTCCCAGTAGCAATTATTTATCCCCATACCTTTGAAAATTAAGCTTGTTGAGCTCTAGTCAAATTATTTCAAGATGATCAATGGTATTATCCAAAGAAATAAATATAATTACTTTTGAATCAAAAATAGAATCTTACTCCTACCGAATTAATCCATATTTTATATTTTATAATTAACTCAACAATGGACTTCCACACTTTCAGATATATATTTATCAAGGGAATAATTACCAATCACAGTTGTATTGTGTGTACTATGATTTATGATAATTTTTTCAGAAATACAGAAAACTTTTGTTGACTGAAGGTGTAAGAAAACGAAAGAAGAGACGAGGAACAATAACTAAAAGAGATTTTGTTGCCTGTGCAGATCCACAATTTCTTAGTAAATCACAAATTAGAAATAGAAAGTATGTGTCTATTATAATTAGCTTGTTTTTCATGGAATGTATTGAACAATATGGGAGCCATATTTGCTTGGGATTTTAACCTGATCTTGGCATTTTACTATATATATTTGAGTGAAAGAAATTGCATTATATTGGGTGGAAGACTTGTAGACTTTTATCCTGGTACTGTACACCTACAGTGTATTTGAAGCTATCTTTGGAAGGAATACAAACTTTCATTTTCCATGTGGGCAAGGGTAATAACCAAAAATTCTCATATTCATACTGTGTAAGTGCCTAGATAACCACCATGTGTATATACTATAAAATCTTTGTTATCAAGTTACTAATACATGTATAATTGATGAATGAAATTCCTGCTCAGTATTTTGAATGGCAAAGTAAACTATCTATATTGTGGCATTTGGTTTACATTAATAAACCAACTTTTGTTTATAATGTCTTGTGAAATCTAGTTGGGACTTTCCCTTTAAATGTTGTATTGTATATGATGCCATGATGAATACTATGATTAAACATACATTATGCAAGAGGTAAATATGCCTATTGCAGGTCTTTCTTTAGGCCTGAAATGTTATTTAAACTATTAATTACACATTTATTAACAAAACAAGACCATAATCAACTCTGGATGGCATCAGATACTCGCGATTTTAACTAGATTAGAACGGTTCGCCATTTAAAAATTTAATTTAAAAATGGGAAAGCGAGGCTAAGTCGTGAATATACCAGTGCGCTAGTTACCACTATGCACTCATCTTGTCAAAACAATAAACAGTGATAATTTGGCTCAGAATGAAGTAATTTGGCTGAAATTTTCAATATTTTCTTTTTTTTCATCTATTTTTGAATTGTTATAGCAAGAATGACCAACTTTTTATTAAACTCTTAACTAATGTATCTATAATTTTAGAATAAATAGAAGTGTTAATGTTTCTGGTAAAAGAAGAAGAAGGATAATGAAGTTACTAGGAAGACAGGCTATAGTTAAAACATCAAATACAGGTACAGTTTATAGTTCACAGATCAAGTAGAATTCTTGTTAATTTTAATTAAAGTTATGTACTCATATTTCCCGATGATTTTTCACATCTGGTTCCCTCATGTCTGGGGAAGTGTGCCTGCTCATTTGGTGGAGCACAAACTGTCATCCAATGATGAGTAGAAGGAAACGTCACCGTCTCGGCAGTGACCATAGAAACAAACTAACTCTATTAACAGAATACTGTTTTGGCAAGAGATTAAATTGCATTCAGAAGGAGCATATTAAAGTAGCTAAGTCTCTAACTCAATATCATCCAAAGTCTTACATGTTGAAAACACAAATTATTTGTCAATTCAAATCAACATTGATGTTGTTATCTTACCGGGAAAAGGTAGGCTTCTAATATCCAATATTTAAGACAAAATAAACATTTTACCATTGGTACACGAATCGTGTACCATAGTGCATTTCATCGTCATTTGTAACAAGTGACCAGAAAGAGCGAGGCTAGACATATTCCACAACTCATGTCATACGGCGACACCATAACTTATCTGGAAAGCATGCGCAATAGACTGGAATAACCAGACGCTAGAAATTTCTATTCGGTTGAGACTCATGCTGTATTTCGCTGGACCGAACTTTTGTTTGACATATTAAGAACAATAATTGTTAAATAATCTCATATTTATATCTATATATATACCTCATACCAGCTCACGTTATTGGTAGGGTTATGAGTAGTCATTGTATTTCATTCCTTTATAATCTTGTCAACTTTAATTGCTCGAGTTTTCAAGCTATGCAAGTGTTTGGTAGATTCCATTCTTAGATCTTCTTCACACTGTCCAAAGTATAAATACGGATATACATGTATACACAATCTTGAAAAGTTTTTAGTTCAAAGTTCAAGACATCTACAATAACACCTGACTTATATGCCAAAACATAACTAACATATTTTATCTTTCTAGAACCAATGGTTACAACCCAAACAAAGAGTCAGAAAAAGTCTAAGAAGAAAAATAAAATTGTACCAGTAGATTTATCAACACCAGAAGATAGTGAAGAAGATGTTGAGATGGATGATGAAGAAGAAGAAGAAGATGAGGATGCTGGAGTTATTGATGAAGTTAAAGCTGTATAAATTATATCTCTATACAATAAAATGTAAATATTTATTATGGTAAAAATATAGTTATTCATACAACTTAAAAGGCCAGATTTGCTAAACTATACATGGGGGGAGCTGGGATATTTGTAAATATGAAACAAGATTATTATTCTGGATTGAATTCTTGCGAGAGGAGATAAAACCTTATATGTCGAAAGTTAAATTCTCTATTTTTTCCTGATTCAGTTTTCTGCGAATGTCGGCAGATCATCTGCGAATTACCTTAGATAATATGGATATACTGTATGTCTGTGTGATGGCTCCATGGTATATTCCTATAGTCTACACTTATTTGGAATTCTTAGTTGGAAGATCAGAATTTGCTACATTTTTTTGAGTTAGAGGTCACACAAGAATTACAATCCTAAGATCATTACCCGTTTTCATCAACCATAGAACAATGCTTTTGCAGACCCAAATTTTTAAGCTTCACTTTTCAAAATACATTACTGGTATGTGCATGTTTTTGTTATAAAGAATGACTAAAACATATACAACCTATTCATATTTCAAATTCCAATTGTCAAGGGTTCTTTTACGTGCACATCCCATCCGAATAACTAGACATTGTTCCCTGCCAGGCCCTCTGTAATAACCCTCATGAGATCACAGCTGTTGAAACTTGAAATGATCTGGACTTCACGCTTTGCAATGCCCATTGTGGAAATTATTTAAATACTAGATAATGTATCGAGTAAAAAGAATCTGCAACATTGACTTCTCATTTAATGTTACAATTAGGTCATCAAGAAAAAATATTGTTTCTCAGACAATCGTTCCTAAAAATTTCAAGGCACCACATTTGATCTGGTCACGGTGATAATTGTTTATCATCCAGAATCATTCATAATCATTCATGATTGTCAAGAGCATATATGTCAGGTACATTTCCAGATTCAGTTGAGTTTTTTTATAGACTTATTTCCTGTGATCCGAGGAAAGCATTTGTGGCTCTTTTTAAGTAAAGTGGGAGTATCTGAGAACCAAATCCCCGGTTGTACGTGACAAGGAGTAGGGTCGCCTGTCCAACCTCGTGGGTTTTCTCTGGGTCCTCCGGTTTCCTCCCACTGCACCCCTACGTGCAAGCGAATTATTGAAATAAAATTAAACCATATGTTAGTCCCGAAATGACCTAGTTTGTGTCAAGTGGACGTTAAACCCCATTTCTCTCTCTCTATCTGAGAACCAGAATATATGGCTTTAGTCTTAGTGTCAAAAATCAAAAGTGTCTCTTTGTTTGAATTTTAGATATTGATTTTCTTTGGGAGATGACAATCTAGAGTAGGGATGGGCGATGTTTGGATACCCTCACTGTTAATTCAGTCAGTGCTGAACTTTATGTCAACTTGAATAAAACTGCTTTCCAGCACAATAACTATATAGACAATACAATCTCTGTTCAGCGTTACAGCCAGTATTTTTTCGACGTTCGTTGTGGGGTGGGATTGTGGATGGCACTCTCGATTTGCCCCCCCCCCCCCAACCCCCTTATGCTCTGCTTCTAGATCCGTTACTGTTCGTGAGGAATCCAGTTTTTTTCTAGTAAGACTGAATATCTGTACTTTCCATATATATAGCGTTACTGGCAATGACTACCCTATAAATACTTTTGTGGGAAAGTATATATAATCCAATTCAATTCTTTATTTTAAACCTTTATGGCTACTGGAACATGTACGTCATGGAATGGCACGTTGTTTACTGGGAGACCATGAGATTTCTTTTTTGCCTGGAACACCCCTAAAAAAACTCAGTCTGTGCCTTATGTACGCATGGCTTAATCTGCCGAAAAATAGGGTAGATAATATGTTGATCCCTTATACAAATCACACAGCTGCATGAACATTTGAAAGAATTTATTGTGCACCAAATAAATCACACATAATATCACATGATAAAATTAATGAAATGTATTAGAGATAGAAAATAAGACATTTTGATCATACAAGAATACTGATATTAAAATACTTTCTTTATTGATAATACAGTAACAGGTGGTCATAAGTTAAAATAAAGTAAGAAAGATATACTATATCACATGTTTAATTGTCCAATTTTCAACAAAGATTAAATTATTTTCCAATTTTTTTTCTTTTTCTTGCTCTTCTTTATGACCTAACCTTTATAAAGACAAACGTTTATAACTGTGGTTTCAAAAAGAAACAAATTTCTTTTTTAAATTCTACTTGTTAGATGACCCTCAGGTCGTAAATTGATGGTGTGAGATGACAAATTAAATGTTTTCTGAAAATAGTTGAATTTACTTTTTTTTATATATATATATATACCGGTATATATAAATAGTACAGTAAAATGAAGCAGGGGTTACACATAGGCATAGCTTGTTCCCCAATCCAAATTCAGATTTACTGAATAAAAATATTGTTTATAAAAAAAAAAGCAATGGAGAGCATATTTATGAAAATATAAGCATAATTATGAAAATGGTGTTAATTTAAAGGGGGTAATTTTAAAGGGGATTAAGCAATGATATACTTATAATGTTCAGATTTTACTCAGGAGCGCACAGCACTGCATCGTTATTAATTTAACAATTAGAAAGATAAAGTAATAGTATAAAATATAAGTTTATTTAATATATAAGTAAGCTACTAAATACTTAAAGATACAAATGGTTTTATAGAATGATAATGATCACAACAATATAATCAACATTTATACACACATTTTACTTATCACAGAAGTTCTTTTAGTATTATAGAGAGAATAAAAACTATGACCCAGTAAATTACTTTACAAGATTTAATTCTATGGGCGGTTTCAACGAGTTTTATTTGTTTTTTTTGGTCTAGCAAAAACATTTAAACCATAAACTCAAGGCACATATGTGCCCATCATAAAATTATAATACTACATATAGATGTTGAAACTTTAAGATAACAGTTCAAGTGATTTCTCACTATGCAAGATTGTTTATAACGATTATCAGAAAATATGTCATTTCAGTTTACATCATGGAATCTCAAAGGTTGACATGGCTACCAGTTTTATATTGAAATGGTGTCTGTTCATCCTTCTGCCCCAGTTATCTTTACGAAACTTTATACACACATAAGTATTAGTAGTTGTGTTATTGCTAATTAGAAATTTTCTCAGTTGAATAGTTTTGTCTTTCAATGGAAACCAATTTTATTTGGGTTTATTTGGGCAAGGTCATCGGATGTTGATGACCGAGTCACATTGTTGATAGTCACATCACTTAAGGGCATGTTTTGTTTAGACTAATAATGGTTCAAAAAGTGTGCATTATTGGACTATGATATAAAAAGATATATTTAATTTGTACCTTCTGATAACCGCTATTACAGCAGTATTAAGTTTGACATTTAGCCTCTAGGTACTCTAGAAGGGGGAAATAAACAATCTTGTAATAGGTCAAATTCTCACAAATATAATACATGAAAAGTAACAAAAACAAGAGTCAACAATGGATTTCAGTATATACATACGTTTCTTCATCAATCTTGTTTATTAATATAACGTTATTGTATTATATACACAAATATATCATTATAACATGTAGTTGACTTAGGCTCCCCCTCCTAATCAAAGAGTGAACGGGGTCATTCAAATTCAAATTAATGTAGGAAAATCCAGATATCTTAACCAGTTGTTCATTATATTACTTTTACAATCACACAGTTCAATAACTGATTTATCTCCTTTCATTTGAGATATTTCTTGTACTTTTGCATGTAAAACACCGGAAACAGAAAATAAGACATTTGATCAGAAACTTTTCATTAAGTACTACAGTCACAGAAATCAGAACGCTGATCTAATTGTATGTTCGAAAATTAAATAGTACTAACAATTGAACATTTCTATAGAGTTTTATAGTAAAATGTTTGTTTATAGTAAAATGTTTAAGTCTATGTAGTTCTGTGTTTTTTAAAAGAATACCCATGGCTTTATAGAGACAAGTTACCAAAACAATAATTACATAGAATATAATATAATAATGTCTTTACAAAATGGTTCTCTCTATATATACAGATATCTAACAGATCAAAAGGTATCAATATTCTTTGTCAGCAGTTTCTTTTTAATTTTTATCCCCAACCACATTTTTCTTGCCAATTATTTTCATCAAATCCTTACTCATGTAGTATGGTTTTCCTGTTGATCCATCATTTCTTTCAAGATCTTCCACTGTAAAAAAAATAATACAAAGAATTTGGAAAGCTGCAAAACATGATATCAGCTACTGAGTTCAGTATATTTACAGGTACTGTATACTAGACAAAAGATAGTATAGCCAGACAATAAATATTCCCAGGGACTGAGTTAACTATCTATTCATGTTATGATGTAAGTCAAAAGGAGCAATAACTCAATTCAAAGGGTTTTAATGGCACGGGCAAATACAAAACCAATTGATGTATAACTATCTTGATATGGTTTATCCTTCTTAACATGAAAAATCACATTAAGTCAACACAAAATCTCAGAAAAAATGTTTCTTGCAGGATAGTTTTTCACAGAAAACACCAATACTTAAGCATTTAACCCGGAATATTAAGTACTGAAAAAAACTTGTGAAACTTTCTCAAAATAGGATGAGATACTAACATATAAGTAATAATGTTTCAAAATGATCAATGCCTAATTATTGAAGACATTATGATTTCACATCCTTTTAGTGCTATACCCAAGGAGCACATGTAACCATTTTGCACTTACTGATTTCACCAAGTCATTACCACAAGTTCCATTGAAAAATTGGTGTATATAAATCATTTGTAAGAAAACAAACTCTTGAAAAACATATGCCAGATTTCAGTGTAAAATTAATTAAATCTAAAGTCTTTGAAATTCTGAGACCGTTGATATGTATACTTACAGAAACAGAGAAAGAGTGTATCTACCGCCATATTATAAACACTGAAGAAACAGGAAGCAATAATATATGTTCCTAATACCACAATCTGTAAACAAAATCATTATAAAATCTGTAAAAATGTTAAAAGATAGATATACTAAAATAGCAATATGTGTCTACTTTATCTCTTCCTTTTCAAAATCTTATTTGACATAAAAAAACCTTTAAATAATTATCAGAAAGTTTTTTTAAATCAAGGATTAGAATTTAGAATTATTACTTAATCAATTAAGAACAGATAGGCTAAAGATGCAGCATGAAATCCATAGAAGCTAATATAAAATGGCCATTTCTTTTGTTTGATTTAAATGATTTTAATAAATTGTGGGAACGAGAGAAATGGAGTTTAGCGTAAACTTGACACAACCCCTTTGGGATCATCATATGGTATGTGCATGTTTCAGTAATTTGGTTGCTTGTAAGGGTCTTTAGCATTGGGAGAAAACTGGAGAACCCTTAGAAAATCTATGAGACTGGGAAGTGAACCCTACTTCCTTTTACGTTTAAACATTGAAGCGAATCCATGACAACTGACTCAATGACAGACCACTTATTATATTATAAGGTATCATCTTAGACTCTGTTTTGACTTTTATTCTGACATGTTGTCCCATTACAAGTAGTATTTAGGTATCTGTTTAAACCAGAATAATCACATAAATGATATCTGTAGTAAAGTACTTACAATGATAGGTACGAAGTAGAAATTTAGAGTTGGGGTGTATTGCGTTAAGAATGTTATTCGACCATCAAAGAAGAAGAAAGCAGCAACACCAGTTAAAGCCACCACAACCAATTTGCTGACAAATAGTAGAAAATCTGTAACTTTATCAATAACCACCACTCTGTAAAATATTAAATACATTTATATATTGCCAAAATATGAAGGATTAATAAAAAGTGAATTTGTGGAGAGCTAATTTTTAATATATAATAGATGAGATATTTAAAGTAGGCTAATGTATATAGTAAATATTGTTATATTAACTGGAAAACCTTTTATGTACATCCATGTAGAATCGTCCATTGTTTTCAAATATTGCACTTATATATACCTGCTCTTATTTTCTTTTAATCGGATGCTGATCTTAAAATTGTAGTTGCATCATTGCATATACAGTACTCTACATACTGTAGACATAAAAATTGTCTTACCTTACAATATTTCTTAATATTAAGCTGAAGGCATTTTTAGCCGAAATACAGAAGTTTTTACCATAAATAGCAGTCTGAAATGGAAGAGTTAATATAAATAATTTATAAAATTTATTTGTTCAATATCATTTACTGAAGAGTAAATTCATAAAAATTATGAGCCATGTTAAAACAATTTCTAAGCATGTGTTTCAATTCTTATGGGTTTTTTTACATGTGAAAGGTAGACATATTATAGAAATCTAAACCTTTGTTATTAATCAGAATATACAACTTAGACATACCATAATATAAGCATTTTTATTTAAAAATTTCAAAAACTTCTCCAAACACCAGAAACAGCATTTTAAACACCTAGAAAAGAAAACACAGATAAAAATGATAGATACATGTAACTTTCAAAGAGGTATTAAGACACAGTTTACTTTAACATAGAAGAATATATTATGTTAAAATTACCATATTTCTGGTGGGTGGTGGGAACAATATGAAAGGTTATGTGCAATGACAAAGATTAGTTAAATATACTCTTCAAAAAAAGTAGGGGATATTGAAATGCAAATACCTATGCAGGTTGTGATATGATAAATAGTCATGGACACTTGACATGCTTTGAGAGTATATGTTCACAGATGAAGAACTTATCGCCCCAACAGAACCACTGAGCTGCACACGCAATAGGACCATACACGTGGGAGGGGTTGGGTTGATGAAAACTGCCGCGTGCTGGTTTATCTATCCATGTTTGCTTTCCTATCGGTTCTTGCATAAGATTTACTGTTTAGTGTATCTTTGCTTTAGTGTGTTACGGTTAATTAGATCGGGAGACGTGTTCGTCGAAGTCAACCGACAACACTGCAAGAATTGGCCCTGGCACAACAAGAGGAGAGGTCAGATTGCCCCAAATCGTGATTGGATGGTTGATTAGGAGCATGCCACGACGAATTGCTGAATGTCTGAGGATTGGTGGAGCAATTACTCATTATTAAGACAAAAATCAAAAACGTTCATTTTCACTTTTGACAGTATCTCTTTGCAAGTGAAATGGGGCCGTCAGATAAGCCGCCCATATGAACTGTTTATGTTCATGTGTAGGCAATTAGCCTGTTATTAACATACACTGGTTACCTCTAATAAAAACAGCAGTGCATTTCCGCAGTTTTGTATTGTTTCGGAATATCCCCTACTTTTTTTGAAAAGTATATTATGGTAGCAGACTTTTGGTGGATGATGTGAACAATATTAAATCAGATTTCTTCTGAATTTCTACAGTCAACAAAATAAAAATTTGAAAAGAATGAAGTGCAACTTACTTTAAAAGAAACTTGGCCGCAGGATTTTCTGTTCCTTTAAGTTTGTGGTCGACATATTCTAGAAATACTCGAATCAATTGAACAATAGCAATCAATAGTGAACCAAAGGCCAAAGTTCCCAAATGATACCTGAAACAGACAATTAGATAACATAGTAAATTGTCCAATTTTATGCATAATCATAAAATATATATTTTTAAAACTGGCAAGGAAAAGTGTCTAGTCATTAGGATGGGATGAAAAAACCAAGATATGTGTACACCTTGGCATGCACATACAAGAACCATTAACAGTTAAAATTCAATTGCTGTCTGGGTAAAATTTCCCTTATAGCACTCTGCATAGCATATGCTCCCTGATCGCTAAACCCAATTTCATTCATTCATTCTGCAATACAATAAGATATCCTACAGGTAAATAATTTACATACCTGAAGCATCTATAAAAGGAACTCAGTAGAGGGAATGTTGGGATATCACTTGGTTTATTAAAAGCCCAGTAATATGAAGCAAATGCACCTGCTAACGTCATCTGTCCTAATGCTACGACAAAGTTAACCAACCAGAACAACATAAATAGATTATAGATTTGAAGGTAGACTGTATAACTGAAAATAAATTAAAGGATTTAAAAACATGAACATGTTATTAGTTGGGTGATCAGTGTTCTAGAAAAGATAAGGGATACCAAAAAGCACACAAGCCATAATATTAACTTAAATCTCATAAAGCTGTATATATACTAAACAGCAAAAGAAACGTCAGGTTGGTAGGTTACTCTAAATAGACGCATTGCACAAAACTTGCCAAATGTTTTTATTGTATATTTGTGACCACATCTCCAACTTTACCTGAGCAATAAGGTTCCTTCCCAAACACAGAGTTGAACTCAGGAAATGTTCTCAAAATCATAACCTGACTTTTGAGATAGTAATGTGTTCTGCATGATTTTCATGCAACTGATGCTGCATGTGCTGTTCACCGGGATCATACCTGGTTGAATCATTCACACTACAACGTCAGCAGCATGCCACGACTCACGACAGCTCAGAGGAACCAGGCGCTTGGAAGACTCGACCCTGCCAAACTGCCCAAGCAGTTGCCAATCACTTCCAGGTCAATTTTTATGTGTTATCAGTGGGATCTGATATAAGAGATGGTTTTCCATTGTATCTCAGTATACATCACTCTTATTAATTTTAACTTTGTATGCTTCCCAATTACTACCACCACTTTCAGAAATCCAACCTACACCCCCCCCCCACCACAAGACATCTTTAACTTACTCTCCTTCTCCATACTTTAGATAACCACAGACACTGTTTCCTGTACTGTTTGTCTGAAAAATAACATCATATTGATAAGTCTTTGTTGATAAAATAACTAAATTAAGCCTATTATTAGTAGTGACAGTTAACCCTATTATTACTAGTGATATCAACCCTATTATTGATAGGGATGTTATTCATAGTTAACTCTATTATTGATAGCGGTGTTATTCATAGTTGACCCTATTATTACTAGTGATGTTATTGATAGTTAACTTTATTATTACTAGTGATGTTATTGATAGTTAACTTTATTATTACTAGTGATGTTATTGATAGTTAACACTATTATTACTACTGATGTTATTGATAATTAACACTATTATTGACAGTGGTGTTATTGATAGCTAACCCTATTATTGATAGTGATGTTATTGATAGTTACCCTATTATTGATAGTGATGTTATTGATTGTTAACCCTATTATTAACAGTTTAACTCTAACAGATAATAAGAAAGCAGACAAAAAACTCCACAGCAGTTAATTAATTTGATACAATCCAACAACCATAAGTGGACTATTTTATGATAGATATACTCACTGAATTATCACATGGTAAGCTTTGAAAGAGGTTCTCTGACTGCTTCTGCACCGCAGCTTCATTAATGCTACCATTTGGATAAGTCACATTGTTATCTGCTAAATTCTGGCCCCTACCTACTGATTGTAAATAGCTAACTCTTGTTAAGATTTAATAATCAAATCAAATAATATATTGATATAAGCCTACACATTGGTGTGCATGTAAAAGAACCCTTGAAAGTTGGAATTAAAAAAACCAAAAAAAACATAGACCATAGCACTGCTGTCCTGGCAAAATTTCCCTCATAGCATACTGCATGGCGTATGCCTGTCTTAATTAGTCTGGATGGAGTAGAAAAGTAAGATGTTAAACCTCATTTTATTTCATTTTTGCTAGCAGATGAAATGACAGAACAGCGTTGCGGGCATCAATCTTGGGATAATTTACTTTAAACCTCAGAAAAAGGATACACAGCTACGGTACCCCAAAATGCAACAACCAGTAACTGTAGAACGAATGGAAATATAGGCCAAACCAATGTAAACATCATTGTACCAACAGCTCTAAAAAGAAAAATATCAAAATTTTTTATGTATTAAATCAACCATCCCAATCATGTAAAATATCTAATAATTTTTTCATTGGTTAAATGTTTTTTTTAACATTAAATTAAAGTCATGATGCACCATTTTAGTGTCATGGGAATCATTTGCAAATATTAGGAATGATAAATCTCTGATAGGAATCCAGTCAAAAAATTGTTCAATTCCATTCAGTATTGACAAAGATATTTGGAATTGAAATTTCATCAGTAGAAGCCGGAGGATGCCCAGTGTCGCTCAATTTCTAATCCATATCTTTGTATATAATGAACAGAATTGAGCCATATTTGGACTGATATTCCTCTTAGAGATTCAAATTTCTCAATATTGCAGTTTGCAAGGGATGGAAGGTCCTTCAAATGTTGATCAGTTGCTTTAACAGAAATGATGATCAGCAGATTTTACAGACATTTGTTCATAAATCAAAGATCATAGACAGTACAAAACAACATTGAAACTTAAAACTTACTTGCTTCCTTCCTTTATAAGTGATATTGCTATTCTGATTCTTTGACACAAGAAGAGTAGAATCAAAAATACAATAGCAAATATAATTCCAGCTGTGATACCTACAATATAACATCATCCATCATTTACTGCATATCTGGTAGCTAATAAGAAACTAGAGTTTGGAAATTAATGCAAGGGCATGAGAACATATCCATCAGAACTCAATCAAAAAGTAATTGACTATTTCCAACTTCAGCTGCACTTGGAAGAAAATTCAGCTAAATTGTTTAACCAACTACACCATATAATATGCTTTATCAGTTAATTGTGCAAATGGACATTAAATAAAAGCTATATTTTTCAACATACAGCTATCAGAGACCATGAAAAGGGTTAAGACAATTCAGATTATCGTTGCAGGGGTGACTGGTCATACAAGGGATGCTACTTTGCCAAGATCATGTGGTGAATGATATTCAACTCATCTCGATTATCATTGATGATAGCCAGGATTGATTAGGTAATTATGTGATCAACTGTTTTATGGTGTTAAACACCTACCTTAATTGATTAACTACTTAATCTGCGGGAGCCATGTCGGCTCAGTGCGTATGACATTTGCCCGCTAACCTGGAAGTCCCGTGTTCGATCCCTGCATTGGACGAGAAAGTTCATCAGGATTTTCTGGCATAGTTCCTCCTTGTCAGTGATATAGGACGGAGGGTCTGGCAAGGAACAACATATAGTTGTTCGTATGGGACAAAAAAACCACTAATAATTCCTTAGAAGACCAAAAGTTATTATATGAGACTGTGGGAGGATATCTGACAATTCAAAAAAATAATTGACTGTCACTAGATAAGAGAAAACAAGAAAAATAGAAAAAGTCTGTGCACTGCTATGTTTTTATTAAATATAGAATGAATAAAAGGAAATGTATGGACTATTTCTATTTTTCTCGTTTTCCCTTATCTAGTGATATTCAATTACTTTTTTGAATTATCAGATATCCTCTTACGGCCTCGCATAACAACTTTTGGTCTTCGAAGGAATTATTAGTGAGCAGAAATTCGCCCATGTATCTGTTATCACTCTTCACTTCAGTCAGTTACATAGAAGGATAACTCATGTTTTCCTTTTGTGTTCATCACTTCCCTTTCTCGATCCTTTTGCACCTATTTTTTGGTATTCAGGACACGATATGCTACATAATATAAAAATATTTGTAGTTGAAGTCTATTGAAGGAAATGAAAGCTTAGTGACTTCTGGTGACCTAATTCTGGCTTCTATTAACCCCAACTAAAAATGGCCGACAAGCAAAATTTTGAAACAGCACCCCTGGATCGTACTTACAATGTAGGCAAACTTACCTGTGCCCAAGAAGAAATCGGCTTTAGAGAATGTTAATTGAATAGTAGCTAATGTAAAAGCAAACTGGTCATCTTTATCTCTGTATATTAAATACTGCCAAATACATACTCCACATGCTACAAATATACACAGGATATATAAAACATACAATTACGCAGAATCTACATTGTCATGGTTACTGATATACTAACTAATGCAACTAACAACACATGAGCTTGGGTGAGATCCCAGTCTGGATTTAGTAGCGAGAGGTAGGCTGCTATAGGCCGGCCTACAGCTCAAGCACCTATTTCATGCTTTAAAAAAAAATGATATGTCACCATCAGAAGCAAGTCATCAACAACATTTCCATTGCAGGAGCTGATAGAGAATATAGACGATATTCCAATAGAACTATGTGCAGATGTTCATTTATGAAGAGAGAGTGAGGGCGACAAGTGAAGTTTACCATCCAATCAATGTAGTATGTGCTTATTGCAGTAATTTGCTTGTATGCAGGAGTCTTTAGCTGTGGGAGAAACCCAGGATTTTTGCAGGTGACCCTATGCCTTGTCGTGTAAAGCGATGGATTGTACTTTCAACACTTGTATTGATGAAAGATCTAAAACAATTGCATTGATGACAGATCTAAAACACTTGCATTGATGACAGATCTAAAACACTTGTACATGCAGCTATTTTCTCAATGCTGTCATATTACATGTTAAAATGGTGAGAATTAGTTATTACCTCCAGCAAACAGACATACGAAAGATAAAATAGTCAACCATATCATAAAACCAGCTATCCATCTCATAAGAACAATCCATATAAAACATACTACCATTCCCAGAAACAGTAATCTAAAAAATAAAAATACACAATTATAAATGTTATGAAACTGAAGGGCTAATTGGAGATCTTGGATTTTGTTTTTAATAACTGTAGAAGACCATTTCTTTATTCTATAAAGGGATGCAATAAGTGTAGTTGATCAGATTTGAGAATCTGTCCACAGGTAGTGAACAGGTAGAGATGATGTAAGGCCATGTCCGTTGTAAACAAATAATCTGTGAACAGATTCTGTAATCATTTTCTTGCATGCTTCTTTATCAGCAAGATGGTACTTAAACATAACTCTTTCCAGTTTTGAACAAGATAGGGAAATCTCAAGCCTATTACCATGATATATACTGTGAATGGAAGGGGGCTTAGTGTCTCATCAACACAATACTTTGGTCATCCAGGAATATGGTCATTTTCATACTTATTTCTATGTCTACGAGAGAGAAAGAGAGATAAATGGGGTTTAATGTCCACTCGACACAAACTAGGTCATTTTGGGACTAAATGGTTCAATTTTATTTCAATAATTTGCTTGCGTGTAGGGGTCTTTATAGTGAGAAGAAACTGGAGAACTCAGAGAAAACCCATGAGGTTGGTTTAACATCTACTCGACACAAACTAGGTCATTTCGGGACTAACGCATGGTTCAATTTTGTTTCAATAATTCGCTTGCGCGTAGTGGTCTTTATAGTGAGAAGAAACTGGAGAACTCGGAGAAAAACCACGAGGTTGGACAGGCGACCCTACTCCTTGTCACATACAACCGGGGAATCTAAACCATGCCAGTTGACTCAATGACAGACCTTATGATACTGCGCGACCGTGCAAACCATTCGGCCATCCACACCCCCTCTCTATGTTTACGAATGCAATCAGAAGGAGCACAATTTTGCTTGTCTCCTCTTTGATAAATTTCAACTTTCAAGGGTTCTTTTATGTTCATGGCACTATGAACACAACTGGACCTCGTTTTTTCTTCTCTTCCAATAGATTCCCCTTCCTTGTCTGCCCCAAGGTAGTACCACAGCCCCCTAAATATTGTGACACCATAAGCCCTTACTTTATGTATTTAAAACTTACGCTACTATTATATACCATGTTGAAGTAATATCAGATATAGCCTTTTCTGCATATTCCTGTGCTTCTAAAAACTGATTAAAAACACTGAAAAATAAGCATATCTATTATTAGTAAACAGATCACAATTCCATAAGAAACAATAGACACTCAAAGTATTGATTACAAAAATAGAGAATGTCACCCGTATATTTTAAGGATGCAATGAATATTAATTTACAACTAATTGATTATTCAAACCCGCATATTATTATGGACAATGTCTTTCACAACTAGGAATGAAATGGTACAATGAAACTCCAGCCTATTCAATTATATACTGGATGCAGTTTCATGGGATTTAATGTCCATTAGGCACAAAACAGGTCATTTTGAGACTAACATATGGTATATTTTCATTTTAATCATTTGGTTGTGGTGGGAAACTAGAGAAAATCCACAGGGTTAAGCAGGCAACCCTACTCCTTGTCACATACAAACCCAGGATCAAAACTCATCAATAACATGTCTTATATGAAGCAACCTCCCAAATCTGATTATAGTATTTAATATATTTAGACATACAGAGATAATTAATATGAAGATAAGTATCGATAATACATGATTAATATATGATTTCTATAATACAAGAGGAGCATATATAAATGACAAGTTCAATCAAACAGTTGTATAATAAATTCAAAATTCTATTAAAGATATGGTACATATATATTGGGATAAAGATGCATTTAGGTAGACAATATAACTTTTGATCTATCTAATATTCTATGTTAACCCTGAACCCTTCACCTCACAACAGGTCTAATACATGCTTTATACTCCACCTTAACTACATGTAATTAAAATTCAGTGCAACAACCAACCATAATGTGATCATAAATTTTACAGGAATAAATTAAGAAAAATCAATATAAATCAATCTAACTTTTATTTTGCCCATGTCACTTGTTGCAAAGTCTTTATGGTACAGACAGAATCTTTGTTCTCCTATTTTCTCATGAAATACCCTGTTAATCCAGACATTTAAATTTTAATTTGGTTATTTCTTTTTGAGTAGACTGACATTTTTGGAAACTAGAGTTAAATAGGTGCTAATTACTGGTTAGGGTCAGAGTTATGGTTAAACACCTCTAGAGCTTAAACTTTGGTGACCAAAATGCTGTGAATTTTTTATGGATGATTGTATACTATTTAAAACCTAAAATCATAATGCACATTAAACTGGGGCCATTATGTCTAAAGACTATTACTTTCGTCTTTGTATTGCCCCCAAATTTGATAATCTCATTTATAAACGTAATAGTCTTTAGACAACATTTTTGAAAGAGATCTTCCATGTTACAGACACCTGTGGAAATATGCAGTCATGCACAAATTGCTATAGCTACTGCTATATAAGGTCCCTTTCCGCAGTCATCTTGAGTTTCTACAAGTTTCAATATACTGATCAACAAGACACACAAAAAATTAATAAGTCATGAAATTAATGTGTCATGGAATTAATGAGGCATGAAATCAATTGGCCATGTGTATAATGTGTGACTTCTTGTAGCTTTAACATATGCATGTATAAAATAAGACATTAATTACTGGATAATAAAACAATTGTCATGTTGCGTTGATTAGTGTAGCATCTCATTAACCACTGTTGATTATAGTATTTTCTCGGCAATATTATTGACTTACACATAGAGAGAAAGAGGGTCATTTCGAGTCTAATACGCTTATGCGATCACCTAATTGTCAGATTAAGTGCAGGAATGAAACGGTACCAAGCCACTTGACTCAATGACAGATCACATGATCTAAAGTGCATGTGTGAGGCCTTTCCACTGCCTAATCCCCCACTTATATACAAGCTGTGTTTCATTTTATGTTAGAGAGCCAAAATTGGTACTGATATTAATACATCTAGTGATCGACTGCATTTAATGCATCGATTTCGATCTTGTTTTAAAGTAGGCCTAACTGTGGTCTGGATTAAGAATCAGAATCTGGAAATTGAAACATTCAAGAAGATGTAAATGACGAAAGGGTACTTTCTATAATTGAGAAATGTATAGGCACAAAATTTATCTATACGTCAATTGTCTTAATTATTCTGATTTTACTAGGCAGGAATAACAGGATAATGTACTCAGGCGGCATGCATTATTTTATATAAGTATTTTCAAAACTGATTCAGTACTCTTTATATATCATAAATGTATTTTAAACTATATAATATCAATTTCCACATTGCCATTCTTACTGAACATGTAACCAGAATGTATTTAAATACACGTCACATGATTGTACTTATATAAACTTGTCTGAGTGACACACAATGACTGAAGCTCAGCATCCAACACTGGTAGCCAGTTTTAGCATAGAATTTCCCAAAAAGCAACAATGTTGACTTATCCAAATTTGAAAGCATATAAAATTAATCTTTACTGGAAAATTTTACAGTCGGCAATGTTATTTCAGTGTTTTGCATAATAAGACTTAAATCAAATGTATTTTTTTTTTTTTAAGAGAAAGGAAGCAGAATTTTATTCTGCAAAAAGAAATCTTGAAAATTTTCCTAAAAGCAAAAATCTAAAATATCACTCATATTCTGATAAAAAGATATACAATACAAGTTCTGGTAAAATGCCCATTATTTAAAAATAATAAAATATAAACCAAACAAAAGAATAAACTAAGTCATTCTTAGAAACAAAAATTACTTAATAGCTTTATCCATTTCTTCTGGAGTTAACCCTAAAACTTTTGTTATACTGAAAATGGTTAATAATGATATCTATATTAATATATGATAGAGGGTTCAATTCTTTCTCAAAATAAGTCATTATTTTCTTTTACACTTCCAGTCTGATCCTACAAAAAAAAACATACAACGACCAGTCTGATCCTACACTATGACCAAATGTATACCAAATTATTAATTCTACAATGTTAGAATTTCTCCACAAAGTTTAATTTGACCATAGCCCTGTTAAATGATGACACATGTGAGACTTATATAGAGAAGTCTAAGAAACAATGACATCACTTACTTAAGCGCTTCTTTGACTTCCGTTGATGTGACATTATTATTTTCAGCATCTTGTAGTGTGTTATTACCAACTTTTACAACACCATCTGCTAAATTCAGTAACTCTTCAATAGGTAAACATCGATTAATCACTGAAAGAACAGAACACAAGTCATGGTGATTAACAGCCTACTTTTATTTATGCACCAAGCAGGCTAAGGAGGTAGGCATACACCTTGCAGTGTGCTATGAGAGAAATTTGCTTGGATAACTGTCAGGTTTTTTTTTTTTATGTACATGAAATGAAATGGGGTTTAACGTCCTACTGTTCTGCTCCTATACTGGGCTAATGAAGACGGGCATACACCATACAGTGTGCTATGAGGGAAATTTTGCCCGGGCAGCGGCACTATCGCCTACTCTTATATCGAATTCCAACTGCCAGGGGATCTTTTACGTGCATTCCAATATATACATGGGACCTAGACAGCTGTCCTTGTCAGGCCCTCCGTTCTGCACCACTGACAAGGGAAAACCACGTTGGAAAATCTGGATGAACTTTCTCGGCCAATGCAGAGATCGAACACCCGACCTCCAGGCTAGCGAGCCAGCGTCTTAACCACTTAGCCACCGTGGCTCCTTTTTTATGTACACACCAACATGTAGTGTAGACAGGACCTCAGTTTTCTGCCCCATCTGGTAAAGTAACTACTGTTCCTTGCCAGACTCTCTATCTTGCATCATTGAGAAGGGGAAACCAAGCTGGAAAATCTTGAGGAACTTTCATAGAAAACATTGGGATCGAGCATGGGACCTCCTTATTAGTGAGACAGCACCTCATTCACTGAGTCACTGTGGCTCCAAATAAGAATTTGAAGCCATTTGAAGAAAGAATTATAAATGTTAACATGCAGGTGCTGCTAGTAATAAAACAGTTGTTCTTGAACCATGTTCTTTATCCAGTGGATGAAACTGGACAAAATGAATCAATAACAAGTAGACGTTTTGAACGGAAAAATCCCACTTGAAAAGTGGTCTGTAAGTGCATTATTTAAGAGAATCAGACTTTAGATCATATCTTAATATACTATTCAAAAAAAGTAGGGGATATTTGATTTTGGGGGCATAATACTAAAATATGCAAATGACTACGAAAAAAGTCACTATAGAACCTAACAGAAGAAACATTTCCAGTTACATGTGACGCCCAAACGCACCAATAGCTACCGCATGGAATGCAGGTGATGCTTGGGATCATCATGGGGGTCCAACCCAAGATTTGCACGACTCTGACTTTGAATGTTACAGTCATTGTGGCATTGAATTCCAGGGTGGAAACATCAGTTTAATTGTTTTAGTGACCAGAAATCAAATTTTGATATGCGTCGGCTTACCCAAAATGAAAGGTTACGTGCCCTTGGCATGCTACAGATCGGCACAACACAGGCGGTTGTGGCGCGGACGATGAATGTTTCTCAGTCTGTCATAAGCAGGCTATGGTCCAGATACTGTGATACACAATCTGTACAGGACAGACCACGCTCAGGTCGACCAAGGGCGACAACTCAAGCCCAGGATCGATTTATCCGTACCTTGGCCTTGAGAAATCGTGTCATCACAGCAAATCAGATCAGCGCTAGTCTTCAAACAGACACTGGTGTGAGAGTGAGTGGCCAGACGATTCGGAATCGACTGCATAGGGGTCACCTTCGCGTCCGACGTCCTCGCGTGATCCCTTGTTTGAGAGATCATCACATTCAGGCAAGACGTCGTTGTTGTAGGGATCGTCAACACTGGGATAATCGACGCTGGAGCAATGTGATGTTTTCAGATGAGTCAAGGTTCACTGTTGATTTTTTGGACAGACGTAGGAGGGTGTGGCGTCGTCAAAACGAGCGCTTCAAAGACGTTAACGTCATCAGACATGATCGATTTGGGGGTGGTTCTGTTATGGTGTGGGGAGGCATCACTGTTGCTGGAAGAACGGCTTTACATGTTGTTGCAGGGCGTGTTACAGGCCAGTACTACCGGGACAACATCTTGGCAGTCCATGTTGTGCCGTTCGCACGACGTCATGGCCGCCGTTTCATCTTCCAGGATGACAACGCAAGATGTCACAGGGCCAGGATCGTTACAGGTTACCTCCAACAACAGAACATCACCACATTACCTTGGCCAGCACTGAGTCCCGACCTCTCTCCCATCGAGCATGCCTGGGACATGCTTGGACAGAGGTTACGTCAACGTCAACAACGTCCTGCCAATGTCCAAGAACTTGCTGCTGCGTTGCAACAGGAATGGGACAATCTGGACCAAAATGACCTTAGACGTCTCATTAGGAGTATGCCACGTCGGATCAATGCTTGTTTGGCAAACAGAGGAGGATTTACCCGTTACTGACTTGGTTGTGATGCTGTGGTAAATTTGCTGTTTGACCCCGGGTATCATTTTACCCTTATAATGGTCAGTCTGTGCCTTACTTAGTCTAACGATCATTTGGAATAAATCGATGAATGTGAACTTCATTTCATTTTGTCATTTGTTTCTTCGTCAGTTTCATTAGGTGACTTTAATAACACTTAAAAATCAAATATCCCCTACTTTTTTTGAATAGTATATTTACTTATACATTATTCATGAACTTACCGGATTTGCTTTTTAAATAATATGCTGAACAGTCTTCATCTACCACCAAATCTTTTACACTCTAAAATGATTACAATATTTTATTTTATTCAAATCCTTCAAGTAACATTCAAACTAATAATATATCTAAACTACAGAATCTTGAATCCATGAATTCTATGAAAGGAAATGAAATGAAATGGAGTTTAGCATTCTACTGTTCTGCTCTAAACTGGGCTAATGAAGACGGGCATATGCCATACAGTGTGCTATGAGGGAACTTTTGCCCGCACAGCGGCACTACAGTCTACTCTTATATCGAATTCCAACTGCTAAGGGATCTTTTACATGCACGCCTATGTGTACACAGGACTTGGGTTTTTCGTTCCATACGAACGATTAAACAGCTGTCCTTGTCAGGCCATCCGTCCTGCACCATGAATTCTAATCAAATGACACTATGTGTTACCCTATAATAAGATCGGTTACACTTTAATAAGATGTCTTACATTTTAATAAGATGTGTTACACTTTAATGAGGTGTGTTACACTGATGTGTTACACTATTGATAAGATGTGTTACACTAAAATAATGTGCGTTACACTAAAATAATGTGTGTAACACTATTGATAAGATGTGTTACAGTATTGATAAGATGTGTTACACTACTATTGAAAAGGTGTGTTACACTATTGATAAGATGTGTTACACTATGATAATGGGTTACACAATGATAAGAAGTGATACACAATAACAAGATGATAATATGATGAACTTCACTGTAAGTTACCATATACATATCACAACTTGGAAGAATAAAACTAGATAGGGCCCCACTCCTCCTTGAATCAGCCCGTTCACAATTTACTTATCTAATCATTCTCTTTATCACAGTATTAAATTAATGCCTACCTTAGCTGATTTGTCTGTATTATATTTACAATATAATAATTTACTTTTATCATTATCTATTAAATTTTCAAAATATGCATAGTTAGTACTTGGACAATCCGTTACACAGATCTGAAAAAAATCAGACAAAAATATTCATTATTCAATAATATAAGTAAATGTAATTTAACAATCAATGTTTAAACTTTTACTAAAGAACCTGCCAAGACATGACTTAGGAGAAGAAGTTAATTGTTTATGCTGGCCTGCCAGAGAGATAAAATTCAGAAGTGATTACGACATAAATCTGATAGGATAAATGCCAAGTTGTTTCTTAGAACACTTATTAAAGCTTTGAATTTTAACATTCAGTAAAGCCTAACTTTTGTGCCCATTTGAATAAATAATTTTTCCTCATTTGTTTCAAGTAGGTTGGTTGGCTCAACATATAAAGTGCATTGAATAATTAAAGTGTAGTGGTATTAGTTTACTTCTGTTTACCTGTGGTGTAGGACATCCATTTACAAAAACACCGGGTCCCATTCGACCACACTTCACCAAATCAAAGAAATAAAGTTTATCTTTTCCTCTGAAATATGTAAAGATATCAAAATTACCGTTTCACGACTGACATTGCTTCCATCATTCACATTGCTTGTATTGCACAGGTTAGAGTTCACGTAGGGTATAATGTACAATAGTTTTAAATGACAGCTTCATATTGTTCATTCCACATTAACCCTTTAAGTGTGTAGACAACTGCCACTCACTGTGTGTAGGGCGTAATATAACGCCTGGAGGTATTTTCCCCAACCTATTCTTAGAACATAGTTCGTCACTTGGGGGAATCCCTTGGGAATTCCCCCACAATCGCAGCATGTGTAGGACGTTATATTACGTCCTGGACAACTGCCACTCACTGTGTGTAAGGCGTAATTTAACGCCTTGGAGGTATTTTCCGCAACCTATACTTAGAACATAGTACATAGTTCTTCGTCACTTCGTCAAATTAATTACACAATAGGGGGTAGTTAACGTTTTAAAAACGTCATGCTTAACGGGTTAAATATGGGTTTATAAAAATTAATTATCTATGAATCTTACCTCATATTACCATATCCACAGAGATTTCCATCCGAATCCTGTGGATATAGCAGTAACTTTGGGTCCCCATAGGCATACCCTATAAATCAGTAAATATTATAGAATTAAAATTCTAAAACTATACAAAAGTTTGGATGTTTGAAATTGGCATTGGGTATCACACTATATTTTCAAAATATAAATTCCAAAACTATGAAGAATAACCCTCTTACTGTATGTGCAAAAAATGGTTGGAAGGATACCTGGTACACTGCATATTGATATCAGGGATACAGTTAGGCTGATAAGGAAAATCCACAGGTAATACTCACAAGAAACAAATCTGAGCGTAGCTTATTCAAGATGATAAAAATCCTATACAATGCTATCATTCGAAATGCATCATGGATTAAATTTTTGATATCTTGTATACAGTCTTACTGGCACAAATTATTTCCCAAAAATATTTTACATGTGCATGTTTGTGAGATTACAGACATCACAGAAACATTTATTAATCACATGTCTGATCCTTTCTAATTTTGGGTGCTGTTAAATTTTTAATGAAATTTAAATTATCTACTTACCAAAGTAGGCCACTACAGCCAAGCCCAATATAAATACTACAAAAACTATACAACATATTACATCTGTACATGATCTGGAATATTTGATACAAATGTTATAATGTGGTAATTTTATGTAAGAAATTTATATATCAATTTTAGCTTTCTTAAATCTATAGCCATTGAAATATTTCAAAATTTACATTATGATATTCTAAATATTCAAACATGGTAATGTTCTGAAACTTATAAACATTAATCATCCAAAATTTAAACATTCATAAACTAAAATTTTATACAAATTTTGTTTGAATGTGGTCTAAAATTTATTATTTGCTGCATTTTGATAGGTGATATTTAGACAACACGTGGTTAATGTTTAATGGTTTCACACTTTAAAGATTGGAAGGAAATTTATTTGTACCTATTTTTTATTGGTCCATTAAATGTGGGGTCATATTTTAAAGGTTTACCTGAAACATAATAAAGAAAACAATAATTAAAACAGATAAACATTCTGATTAAAAGTTTGTTAATCATATATTTGTATAAAATTATTTTTGGGGGTTGTGTGGTACATTTATGTATATGCAAAAAAATATTCTGTTGTCTTAAATTTGTGAGGTATTTTACCATTTACCATGTTTATTTTGTATTCTTGTTTATACAGACTAATTAAAATAGTACTCAAAGTATAGAAATGAAATGAAATGAAATGGAGTTTAACGTCCTACTGTTCTGCTCCTAACCTTGGCTAATAAAGACGGGCATACGCCATACAGTGTGCTATGAGGGAAATTTTGCCCGGACAGTGGCACTACGGCCTACTCTTATGTCGAATTCCAACTGCCAAGGGATCTTTTACGTGCACGCCAATGTGTACACGGGACCTCGGTTTTTCGTGCCGTCCGAACGACTAGACAGCTTTCCTTGTCAGCCCATCCGTCCTGCATCACTGACAAGGGAGAACCACGCCGGAAAATCTGGATGAACTTTCTCGGCCAATGCAGGGATCGAACACCCGACCTCCAGGCTAGCGAGCTAGCGTCTTACCCACTTAGCCACATGATCCCCCTCAAAGTATAGACCTTTCTCAAAAAGTGGATAGGTGGGAGCAAATACATGTAGTCACACTTTATGTAATGGACTAAATAAGAAAGATATTTTCAATGGAGGAAATTTTGGGAATTTTGTTCCCAAAATTGCAGAACTTGCTGATTCATAAGAATGATCCATACAGAAATTCTTAGTTTTCTTTTGATGGGCAAACCTAAAAGGCTTGTGAATATACTCCAGGACATTAAAGACTTTTCAAAGGTTCTTACTGGAATTTTCTGAAACTATGGATCGTTTATGGGGATAAAAAGGGGTAAGTCATGTTATAAAGACATTTTCAACTGCAAATATATGGAAACAATATAATATGAAACATATTTATTTTAACTTTATCTGTGATAAAAAAAAATAAACTGGTGGAACTGTTAATTGTGATATAATTGATATATTGGATTCTACTTTTTAAATTTCAACTAGTCATAATAACAATAAATTTAACGGTTGAAGGTGATTTAATTTATTTCTCCCCTTAAATCAACATTTTTCATTTATAAATTTAGAAGAATGACAACTGGACTGGTATTTAATCTTTCGATCACTGCCTCCAGGATAAAAAATCTGAAGAACACTGCCGTAACAGCAGTGAGGTAAATTGTGGTCTAAAATACGTTAATTGTATGTGTACTGGTATAACGGTGACAAAATGTAAAATATTATGTAGGATTACAGAAAGCCTTTCTTACCACAAGCCTTTGTAACCTTGAACCACAGACTTATTTATTTCACCAAATTTTTTTTAATAATTATTGCACATGACATTACCATGAATAGAAATGAACATTTTCTTCAAAACCATGTTTAAATCTCTCTTACCTGGACGGTAACTAGAACTAGCCAACCAATCCCAGCAAGTTTGAAAATAAAATCTCAAAAAAATTGATCTTTACACAGATGAATAGATGGAGCGGAGCTATGACAATATATTTCCCACATGAAATGTTGGCATAAAAGAAATTAAGCAGTGGTCTTGTCATGTCAATAAAATGTCTAATTAATAATTTATATAACATTTAAGGCCTTCAGAAAGACCTGCAAAAGCCAAATTTAGCTCTTGAATAATGTATCTTTAAGATTTTGTTAAACTCAATTATATGAACAAGGTTATGCCTGATACTGTCATTTTGTTTAAAAATGTTTTGCTTGACAAAGCACACTAACTAAACATCCTCATTGCCAGTAGTCTACATACCACATATTTAACAAAGCCAGATTTTTGTGAATAAAAAATGAAGATATCTTATAACTATCTAAAAACATATCGTTTTATGTGTTGTCAGTGACTAGTGGTAAAAGTTGTTTTTGAAATCATTTATTTCAAATATTTTCAGACATGATTAATTTCTTAGAAACCTTATTCTTCAAACCTTATACTTATTTTACTAATCATTCAGATTTTACAATCAATGTCAACTATAACGATTCACAAATAGATTCATTTTACCTTTTTTTTTCATTAAATATTAATTTCTAGATTCAGATTTCATCTGTATATTCAAATTAGTTATAAATATATAGATAAATTTGCATTGGTATTAGGAATAACAATACATCACGTCCCATTTAACAAATTTAATTATGCTGAATCACTTCTAAATTTAAATAAATTGTAAGGCAGCAGTCACCACCAATATATCTAAATAATTTTCACAAAAGACAATACTAATTCATGTATTAATATTTTAACAGGTTAAAAAACACCAAAGAATTATAAAGTAAGACACTTTTCTGGAATCTTCAGGGAAAGAAGAATGGGTGTAAAAATGCCCAGTTTACTAGGTCATATTAGGGGAGAGAGAGAGAAATGGGGTTTAACATCCACTCGACACAACTAGGTCATTTCGGGATTAACACATGGTTTAATTTTATTTTAATTCATTAATTCGCTTGCGCATAGGGGTCTTTAGCAGTGGGAGGAAACCGGAGGACCCGGAGAAAACCCACGAGGTTGGACAGGCGACCCTACTCCTTGTCACGTACAACCGGGGATTCGAAACCACGCCAGTCGACTCAATGACAGACTTGATGATACAGCGCGCGCACGCTAACCTTTCAGCCATCCAACCCCCCAGGTCATATTAGGACTAACATATAGTCCATATATTATTTAATTAAATATCTTTCAATAAGAGGTTTTTTGTAGTGGATGGAAAGGACAGAAAAGCAAAGACCCTATAGACAACCCACAAGATTTGACAGGTGACACTAATTCTATGTTGTGGGATTGGATGGTCGAATGGTTCAAGGTTTGTCATTGAGTAAACTGGCATGGTTTCAATTCTCAGCTTTTTTCGTGACTAGAGTCGCCTGTGGGTTTTCTCTGGGTCCTCCGGTTACCACCTACTGCTAAAAAGATCCTGACACTTACAAGCAATTTATTGAAATAAAATTAAACCATATGTTGGTCGAGAAATGGCCTAGTTTGTGTGGAGTGGATGTTAAACCCCAATTCTCTCTCGACATGATCCACAACACATTGCTTCACAACATTCATGCAAGCACATGTCTGCCGATTCAATGTAACCTGATCACTGGTCAATCTAGACTTTGAAATCACAGTCTTGATCAGGAATTGTTAGCACAACATCACTCATAATGAGACTAGGATCAAGAACATTGGGATGACAATTTCTAACCTGCTTCAGAAATCAAAGCATAAAATTATTTGATATTCTCTTATGAATAAGATTATTCTCACCTCCTCCTTTTTTTGTTGAGCCATTCGCATCTTCATTAAGTTCAATATCATTCACTTTTTTATCCTTTTTACCCATAATTTACACTACTTACAATGTCAAAGTTTTATAACTCTTTTGTTTAAAATATAAACCTGTAGATATGTGCAATTATACAATTAGACACCATAGCTTTTCCTACCTATATAAATTTACATGATATATTTACATACATATGTGCATGTGTAGATTTTGTTAATCCAACAGTCACGACAATTAAACTTTGTGTGCATTATGTATACAAACCAAATATAAACTATATAATTTTAGAACAAGATTATTTGCAGTCTTTTTTTATTATCTAAGAATAATAGTTAAATATTTTTATTTGTAACTCTAGTTTCAGAAGAAAAAAAATTCAGAAAGAGAAAAGAGTATCTGCATTTTTTGCATAAAATATGAAACAATTTGATAAAATGCCACTGGTAATCGGAGACAAAAACTACTTCCATGAACAAATACTAGCAAGAGTCTGTTGTCTAATTCTGATTCAAAACCTTCAATTTAAATCAAACATTATACCCACTATAATATACTGTGCAACAGTCCAGAAAATCATACTTATAAATCCTATAAATTATGAAAACCATTCCTGAATATTTCTACCACATCATGCTACATCATTTTCAGGTTTAATATCAAATACAAGGTAATATCAGCCATATAATCATTTGCACCGATAACAACACAATTCACCATTCTGTCAATATAATTAATCATCTACATCTAATTTAAAGGAACAATTGAACAAGATTGTTTTGTGTTGAATGAAGGTTGTATTAATATTTGAGCTCTCTGCCCTGGAAGACAATCTTCAAACAAATAACAAACACAAGAGGGTTGGTGTGAAATGTCATTTTATTAAATGACAGTATTTAAATGTAATTAGATTGCATTTAAGATATGTGCTTGCTAAAATTATAAAGCAATTACCCGAAGAACCTCGTGCTTCTGAAGATTAACCAATCGTTGGGCTGAATCAAAACCCATCTAAACAGCCATATCAATATTAAAAGGACATAACCTCATGTGTGGATACAGGTTTGTTTGTTTAGCTCGATCCGCTCAACTGTCTTTTCTTACATCTCTTTATCAGAAATGTTGCTTGAACAAATGCAGTGAAAATTAGAATATCACTGTTTTAATGTGCCAAATTCCCCTTTTTAGTCAACCTTGCCATGTATTCTAGTCTATTAAAAAATGGATAGAAAAGTTCCAAAATTTGGTTTGCACATGCCCGGTAAAGAATTCATATGAGCAATCTAATTAAAATATAGATCTATATTTCGTTTCGTTTTTTATACTTTCGATGGCCTACACTACATGTAGATTTAACAAGTTATAGTGGGAGTTCACGTTCTATGACGTCAGGTACCAAGCAAGCGACATTTGACCCGATTACGTCAGTCATTCGATTAACCAATTAGCGACCGCCATGTATTTTTCATCTACTTTTGCTTTGTTTTGATTTCTATTGCCGCTAATGTCTACCCACAGTTCCACGCAAAAAAAGGTCAAATGCTCGATTCGACAGACCATTTGATTGGCTGACCCCTCATTTCAAGAAGAACACGAGTTAAATAACAACACTTCCAGATCCAAGTGTAGTAAAGACAAGTAAAATC